CGTTGTGGTGTGTTTTGTCACTTTTATCACGAGGCGCTTTGTATCATGGTTTCTTCTTGTCTATTGTAGAGAGCTTTCCGTGGGAGGAGGCGGATGTGTATAGATGAGGGTCACGATCCGCGAGATTGAGAATCCCTATTGGCAGGTAGCCTGAGCGGACTGCCGCTTGTAACGAGTTGCCGCTGCCCATGTGCGTTTGGGCCATTTGGCCCCTTGGTGTTGTGTCTGCGTGCCTCTGGTGCCCTTGAATACTGGATAGCTCTAGCTATGTTGTTGTACGGACGCTCGTCCGGATCCTCCGACGAACTCTCCCCGGGCTACAGCACCTCGTCGCGGCTCATGCCCCAGTCCATGCGACCGCGATCCAGGGGCGGCGTGCGCTGGACGTTGGCGGCAAGCCGTCGCAAGGCCCACGCGTGGCCCTGCGTATTCCTCGATGCGGTTGCTGAGCGTCTCGGGCGGATGTAGAGGAACCTGCGGACGTGCTGGTCATTGAGGCGCCGGTTCAGACCGACCATGGGCGTTGGGGAGTGTGCGCATGCGGTGCTGGACGTGAAACTTGTGGCGCATCAGAAGCGTGAGTTGGTCTGTGAGGGCCTCCAGCGTGACTGCTCGGGTCAGACCTCCCTCATGCAGTGCTTCCAGACGACGTCCCTGGCAATGGCCCCAGGGCTTGGATCGGAGGGGTTAGGGGTGGGAGACGTGGGTGGAGTGGGCGCGGAGGTTCAGGAGGTCATGGTGCATGGTCCTGAGGTTGACGCTGGTCGTCGCCGAAGCCAAAGTTGAGGGCGAGTGTTGCGCGGCGAGGGCCAAGATGGTGGCTGGTTGGGTCGTGGTCGTGTCTGAACCGACGATGGAGGAGAGGAGAGTGTATGTGAGATTTGATGGAGGGGAGATGGGGGTGTCGTGATGGTGGCCGTGGTGATTGGAGCGATGTGCGGTGCTCGACGTCTCGCCCAGATGTTGCGCTCCTTCAGCAACGCGAGAATCGCCAGACCCAAGGCAAGCCCAAGGAAGCCCCAAGCCGGCCTTTGCTTCAAGCCAGCCCCGCAGCGGCCCCCCTGACCTCGTCGTCGACATCCGCGTCGTCGTCGGCGACGGCCAGGCGGGCCAGCAGCTGGGCGTAGGTCGGGCGGAAGCGCCAGTCCATCCAGGCCTGGAGGATCTCGACCCACTGGGCCTCGTTCATAGCGCGCACCGTGACGGCGCCGTGACCCGTGACGGGGGTGCCGCCGCGGGCCGCGTCGCGCACGCTGGGGCACCGACCGGCGAGGTCGCCGAAGCCGACCCAGAGGCCCTCCATCGCGCGGCCGACGGGCTGCAGCGTGTGGTGGAACCAGAAGCGCAGCATCGCCTCGGACGTCTCGCCGGCGCGCGACGTGCCCGGGCCGTGCTGCCGCAGCAGCGGGTGCATCGCCTTGGGCTGGATGTCGAGCAGCGCCGAGGGCGCCGCCGGGAAGAAGTCGTCGGCCCGTGCGGCGAGCGGCTCGTACGCGCGCCGGTCCCAGAGCAGCGCGGGCGGGTCTTGCCGGAAGAGGTGCAGGCTGTCGCGCAGCGCGTTGAATTCGTTGCGCGCGTTCTTCTTGAGGTTGTCGATGCGCTCGTTCCACGCCGCGTCGGCGCGCGCGACGTCATCGGCGGACGTCCCCGGCTTGGCCGCCAGCGCCGCCACGGCCTCGTGCTCGCGCAGCAGGTCCAGGTACAGCGCCGCGTCGCCCTGGTCGTACTTTTCGCGCTGCCGCAGCGCCTTGAGCCGCTTCGAGGCCGTCGCGTCGTCGTCAGAGGAAGATGAAAGCCCTCGCTCGAGGTCCTGCAGCTCCTGCTTGAAGGGCCGCGACACCGTCGGCGGACGCACGCCGGCGAGCCTCTGGCCCATGAGCGACGGGTCGGCCCTGAGGCTCTTGTAGACGGCCGTCTCGCGGCCCGCGGGCATGACGAGCCCCTGCGCAGCCATGCGCTCCAGCGTGCGGCAGCCCGACTCGACGTTGATCCACTCGTCGCGCAGGGCGTTGCGGTCCTCGACGCCTGCGTCCAGGCCGGCGACCTCGTGGATCCACTCGCACGACAGCTCGGCCTCAAAGGCGCTGCGCTTGCGGCGGTGGATGGCGCGCGGCAGCAGGCGGCGCTTGTCCTCGTCGTTGACCCAGACCAGCATGCGCACGAGCCCGTACTGCTGGAAGAGCGACGACGTGCGGATGCTCGACATGAGCTGGTACATGACCATGGTGCTGACGCTGTCGAAGCCGTGGAACGCCTTTTTCGGGAACATGGACAGGTTGGCCGTCACGAGCAGCGTGTCGTTGCGCGCGGGCTCCGCGCCGGGAGGCGTCGCCCTGTCGCGCTGGCCGGCGAGCTCGTCCCCGCGGATCACATCCAACAAATCTCGCCAGACGATGCCGGACCGGGGCAGCAGGCGGACGCCGTCCTCGGCGAGCAGCGGCTCCAGGAACGGGCGGTACAGCTCCGCGTCGGGCTCCATCAGGACGTGTCGGCGCGGCCGCAGCAGGTCGTGCAGCTTGCGGCTCCAAACGCCCGCCCCGGGGTTGAGGTCGACGAGGTCGCATCCGCGGTGCCGCTCGAGCGACGGGCCGACGTAGCTGAGGATGTCATCTGCGTTTTGCGTCCCATGTCAGCCGGGCTGTTTGCGAGCGTGAGCGATACTGAGACCGATTGAGATGCCTTACCGCACAGGCCCTCGCTCACGACGTTGACGCGCCAGGGCTCGGCGGCCGTGACCTTTTTGCGGCCGCCGGTGCGCCGCCAGACGCCCGTCTTGTCGAGGCGGCGCGCGACGTCCGAGGCTGGGGGCTTGGCCTTGGGCTTGGCCACCTTGGGTTTGGACGCCGCCGTGGCCTTGCCGCGGAGCTGGGCCCCGAGCTGCCGCGCCGGCTGCGCGAGCGTCGGGTGCGCATAGCGGCGTGCCAACATGAGGCGCGGTGTGGCCGATGAGTCGCGGTGGTGAGGTGAGGTGAGGTCGAAGTTGGGACGGTTCTGCGTGGACCCACTCGGTGGGCAGATGTTTGTTAGTCGGCCGGGGGTGAGACGCGACAGCGTCATCCTGGAAGATCACCAAACAGACAGATATCCCTGGCCATGGCTGCGTCAACACGGGATGAACCAGCACGAATCAATCCAAACCCCAGATCTGAGGCCTACGATACATGCCCAATCCCGAGGCTCACCATGACATTCGGACGAAATCCCAGCCCCGGCGTTGCTCGGAAATGCAAGACACTTCAACTTATTTATATCGCCCAAGTGCCGGCGTCTGACGTCTGCCGGCACTTCTGCCCCTGACTTGAGACACGCGCAGCCAGGCACAGCGAATCGAGCAGGCACCGCGACCAAAACGCTCCAAGACAGGTCTGCCCGCGGCGAGATTGATTACCCGGCTGCTGTTGCTGCTGCTGCTGCTGCCCAGGGACCGCATCTCGAGCGGCCATTTGCTCGGGCGGCATCGTGGGCGTGTCTCAGCGCCGCGAGCTGACCTGGGGGACATGTCTGAGCCTCGGGGTGGCCCTGTCGTGAGCCTGCGCCCGGAGCTGTCCGACAGCTGCAAGGGCAGAAGCACGCTCTGCGACGTTGTGAGGGCCAAGCTGGGGCGAGACACGACCCGGGACGTCGGTGAGGCCGTGGCGGCGTCGATGCGACCGTCCGACGGGTATAAAGCCTCGAGCTGGCCATGGCCCTGAGATGAAAAGATGGAATCTCAGCAGCATCCTCTCCAAAGACAGTCTACACACAAACACCCTCCGGCAAGTTACCCGTTCACAGGAAGACAGTCCAGACGCACCGCTGACCATCGCAGACACACCACCCGCAAACAACAGACACCATGGTCAAGCTCATCGCCGCCGCCCTCGCCCTCCTCGCCGCCGCCGCCACGGCCTGCGACACGGCCTGCAGCGGCGCCTCGGACCGCGACGGCCGCTGCTACTACTCGTGCACCGACAACGCGTGCCACATGTCCGGGTCGCACCACCGCGACGAGTTCCTCAACGGCCTCTCCGGGCGCGGCTACGACTGCAAGCCCGAGGGCTACAACACGCTGTCGTGCGCCAAGACGGACGGCTTCGGCGGCTGCTGGAGCCACAAGTGGACGTGCGGAGGGCAGTGCTAGGACGGTGGCGGGAGAACGGCGAGTCACAGAGAACTTGAGAGAGTGGCGGTAGATGATCTGTAGTCATAAGGGCGTCGCTTATTTTTTGCTCGACTAAACCACGCAACATGTCAAAGGCAATGCCATACTCCGAGCGCCGTGTCAGTGCCCTACGCCCCCTCGCTGCCAAACTCGTTTGTCCAGTCGACCTGCTTCTGCACGTCCTCCTGCGACACGGTCGGGTGCGAGTCCTCGAGCGCCACCTCAAAGTCCTTGAGCGACACGTCGGGCGCCAGCAGCTCGTCCGAGTTGACGTCGTCGTACGTCATTTCAATCTTGTCGGGGTCGCCGGGCGAGCACGGCGTCAGCATCCGCTTGCCGTCCTTGATGACCTGCGCCAGTTAGCATCGTTCACCCCTCGAGACAAGCCCGGCGCGGCCCTCACTCACCGGCTTAAAGTGTGTCGCCTGCAGAATCTTGCGCACCGGCCGCATCAGCGCGTGCTGCACCACGTTGGCAATGTCGCTGCCCGAGAAGCCGTCCGACTTGGCCGCCAGCACGTTGTAGTCGCCCGCCTGCAGCGCCGTGTCCGTGTCGCCGACGGCCAGCTTGAACATGCGCGCGCGGCCGTTGAGGTCGGGCAGCCCGATGTGCACGCGCCGCTGGAACCGCCGCCGGATGGCCGCGTCCAGCTGCCACGGGATGTTGGTCGCCCCCAGCACCAGGATGCCCTTGCTGTCGTTGCCCACGCCGTCCATCTGCACCAGAATCTCCGTCTTGATGCGCCGCGACGCCTCCGACTCGCCCTCGCCGCGCGGCCCGCACAGCGCGTCGATTTCGTCGATGAAGATGACGGACGGCTTGTTTTCGCGCGCCATCGAGAAGAGCGCCTTGACGAGCCTGACGGGCTAGCTGTCAGCGAGGCTCACGGACCGTGGCCGGGGAGGGGGTCTGCCTACCGTTCACTCTCGCCCATCCACTTGCTCACGAGATCGGAACTGCTGATGCTGAAGAATGTGCTGTTGGCCTCGGTGGCCACGGCCTTGGCCAGGTAGCTTTTGCCGGTACCGGGCGGGCCATATAGCAGGATGCCCTTCCACGCTTGCCGCTTGCCCTGGAAGAGGCTCGGAAACTTGATGGGCAGCACCACGGCCTCCTTGAGCGTCTCCTTGGCGCCCTCGAGCCCGGCAATGTCCTCCCACCGCACGTTGGGCCTCTCCTGCAGGATGGCGCCCGACAGCGCGTTGCGCAGCTTCTTGCTGTCGTCGTCCTCGGGCGCGCTCTTGCCCTTGCCCGTGCTCGACCCGTTGGCGCCCATCAGGGCCTTGCCGCCGTTGGCGTTGTCGGCCTCGGCGGCGAGGAACTGCTTGAGCTTCTCGGCGCGGTCCAGGTACGTGGCCATCTTCTCCTGCATCGTCGCCTTGAGCGCCTTGTTCTTCTCCCACTTGAGCGCCTTGACCCAGAGCTCCATCGACGACATGTACAGGTCAAAGGCCTTTTGGTACTCCTTGGCGTGGTCCGCCGCGATGGCCTTTTGGACCTCGGCGATGGCCCGGTCGCGGAAGTTGGTCGACATGGCGGCGGCGGGGAAGACGGCGAGGAGGAGGAGGAAAACTCGAGGACACGGGGGGGTTCGGCGTGCGTCGGGGAGAGTCGTGTCAAGGGTCGGAGAGCACGGAGCGCGCTCGGCTGGAGGACAAGAGAGGCGAGACGCGCGTGGTGGTGACGGGATGCGACGAGGCAACGTCAGACTGCGGATTGGCGGGGTAACATGTAGGTATCGGGGCCTGGCGGCGGCGCTGATAGGGGCGCTGGTGGGGCACGCCGACCGCGACGGCCATGGATCGTGCCCGGATTCTTCGCCGCAGGCAGCGAGCAGGCTCACGACAAAAAAACCAGGCCACCCCAACCTTGACGAGCCCCGACAGCCTGCCCGCCATGGCCGAGGTCCAAGCCCGCCTGCAGTCCCTGTCTGAGGACTACCAGAAGCTGCAGCAAGGTGCGACCCCCCGGCGAGCCCGCGCGGCGACGTTGACTGGATGACGACGGCGACGACGACGACTACGATGATGCTGACCCGGAACCGGCTGGCAGAGCTGCAAGACACGGTTGCCTCGCGGCAGAAGCTGGAGGGCCAGAAGCAGGAGAATGTCGGCGTGCAAAAGGTGCAACGGCACTCCCTGCGCGGAAGACCGCTTACTGACCGTCATGCTAGGAGTTTGACAACCTGGGCGACGACGAGACCATCTACAAGCTGGTCGGGCCTGTGCTGCTGAAGCAGGACAAGATTGAGGCCGAGAGCACCGTCAAGGGCCGGCTCGACTTTATCAGCGGCGAAATGTGAGTGCAGGCGGGCCGCGTCCGCGTGAAGCTGCAAGCCAGGCTAACATGACTCCTCTGCAGCGCGCGGCTGGAGGGCAGCATCAAGGAGACGCAGGACAAGATGGAGAAGAAGAAGACGGAGATTATCCAGGTGCAGTCACAGGCACAGCCGCAGGGCAAGCAGTGAGCCTCAACAAAGTCATTGCCAATTGCGTCTGCCGTACAGAGTGTCGCGACATGTGAATGCGCCCGTTGTGAATGCCGAGATAAAATCCCAGCTCACAGGACCACCGACTGCTCAGGCCCAGCTGCTGCTCGTGAGGCTGCGTGACAGGCAGCCGTGAGCGAAGCTGCATCATCGTGTGCTGCCTGGCCTGCGGTGGCGGCGAGGCGTGGGCCCCGGGTCCTGCACAGGCAGTGAGCTCAGCGCCGGCACTGCTACCTAGGTACCTGTAGGAGCCTGTTGCGGGGTGCCCTGCGGCTCGGGCTGTGCGTGACTGACGGGACCTGTGCCCCTCGCCGTCCGTCGCCCCACCTCCCTCCGTCACACCCACGCGTCCACCTTCACTCCCCGTCATCGCCCATGTCCCGGCGCCCGTCGACGTGCAAACGCCGCACTGATGGGAGCACACCTGCCTCAGCATGACCTCCCGACCCATACCTAGCTCCTAGTTGCGTCGCGCGTCGCGCCCTCACCTCCAGTCGACGCGGGCACGATGGATCGCGGCTCCCGGCCCGCGCGGCCGCAGTCGGTCGACGAGCTCGTCCGGCAGGCCGAGAACTTCAACTTCAACCCCAACATCCCGTTCAAGCACTGGACGCGCGCCGCCGACACGCTGTATCAAGAGGTGAGCCCGTGCCCGCACCGCCCAGTGACGCACGCTGACGACGGGCCAGGCGCACTTTGCCCTCGCAGACGGCGACTATGGACGCGCCTTTCTCATGCTCTACCGGCACTCGTCGCTGGTCATGAAGCTCGTCTCGCACCCCCAGTACCGGGACCCCGACAGCAAGAAGCTGTTCCGGCCGCTGTCGAAGCGCACAAACGCCGTCCTCGACGACATGGAGCGCATCAAGCCCGTCATCGTCGACGAATACGCCGAGTGGGAGCGCATGGCGGGCGGCGTCCACGCCCAGCAGCGCCCGTCCCGCTACGAAGATTACGCCGCCCGCGACCCCAGCCTGAGCGGGCACGCCAAGGTGCTCGACGCGTCGGAGAACCAGGAGCTGGCCGTCGACCTGGCCCAGCAGGAGCTGGCGCGGAGGGACAGGGCGCGAGAGTCGCGGGCGCCTGCGCGTGCCGACGGCCACCGCGCCAAGGACTGGTACCACGGCGACGACGGCGACCTTCGCAGCCAGATGGAGGCCGCCCGGCGTGCCCTGAGGCCCGACGCCCACGACGAAAAGACGGACGGCGGCGCCCCGGCGGCGCAACACTACAGCTATCCGTCCATCTCCAGATCTCAGGCCGTCTCGTACGAGCCTCAGCCACGCGTGCCGGCGCCGAGCCGGTCGCCAGGGCCCATCCGGCCGCCCAAGGAATCTCTGCCGGAGCAACGATCGCTAACCTCGCCGGCCATCCCAGGCAAGGTGCCGCTGGACCGGCCGCCGACGCTGGCCACGGAGCCCCGGTCCGTCGATGTGCCGCCCCGCCCGAAGAAGGAACGCATCGCATTCAGGCCCGGGGCGTACCTGGAAAACGGCGACCCGATCCGCCCCGTGTTTGTGCCGAACCAGCTGCGGCGGCGCTTCCTCGAAATCGCGGCCGAAAACACGCGCGCCGGGCTCGAGATGTGCGGGATCCTCTGCGGCACGCCCGTTAACAACGCCCTGTTTGTGCGCTGCCTGCTGATCCCCGACCAAAAGTGCACGTCGGACACGTGCGAGACGGAAAACGAGGGCGCCATGTTCGACTACTGCGCCGGCGAGGACCTGCTCGTGCTCGGCTGGATCCACACGCATCCTACGCAGACGTGCTTCATGAGCTCGCGCGACCTGCACACGCAGGCCGGCTACCAGGTCATGATGCCCGAGAGCATCGCCATCGTGTGCGCTCCACGGTTCCAGCCCTCGTGCGTGCCCCGTCCCGATGTCGTAGCGTGCCCCAGCTAACCAGACAGGTACGGCATCTTTCGCCTGACGCACCCGCCCGGCCTCGACCACATCCTCAACTGCAACCACCAGGACACGTTCCACCAGCACTCGATAGACAACATTTACCGGCAGACGGAGCACCCCAACGGGCACGTCTACGAGAGCGACAAGCTGCCGTTCTACGTGCAGGACCTGCGGACCAAGTAGGCGGGCTGGCAGGCTGGCAGGCTGGCGCGGGGAAGCATGGCAGCCGAGCCCGACGGCACGGCCAGAGCCTGGGAGCGGGACATGCATCGCGCGGCACGCATGTACAGAGCACACGGGATAGACATGAAAGCATCCACACGATAGAACGACGGGCCCTCAATACACATGTACCAATGCCAATGGCAAGACCAATACAGTGCGCCGACGGGGCGGTGCGGAGATTGTGACTGGCCTCGACTCCCGGTCGGCGAGTTTTGATGCAGGCCGCGAACCAATCTGGACGGCCGGGTTGGCGAGACGCGAGAAAAGAGCAACGATCACCGGCCCAGGCATGCGTGGCTTGCTGTGTGTCTCAATTGGGACAAGGATGGCCGCTCAACGGGACCTCAACGGCGACCCACCACCAGCTGGATGCCGACGATGGTTTCTTTTTGGGACGCTCTGCAGCGGCTGAGACGGACCGGGGGGTGAGTGGCCGCCGACATGGAGCCACGGAGACATGGAGCCGGCTGCGTCGCGAGACTGGGCATGCCGGTACGAATTACGTTGCAGACGAAATTGCGGAAGGGCATTGAGTATGGGGGAGTCGGGGCTCGGGAGGACCGTCGAGGCCCGTTACACGACAGCTCGCAGCACCACCCGAGCCAGCGCGAGTCGTCCGGTTTTGCTGCCGGCAGCGACGCGAGGCCCGGCCCGCGCATGGGTGGCTTGCGCTAGCAACGGGGGACGGTGCTCGTTGCTTCTGCTGAAGACGAGCTTGGCCCGAAATCGCGGCATCGACGGATCCCTGCGGTCCTGCGGTGCGGTCCAGCCGTCACGTAGCACCGACGGCCACGTCGACGATCCTGCACATCATGACGCCGGAGACGACCTGCGGGCGGGGACCGACCGACCATCTGCGGCGGCAGAGACTGCAGAGACTGCAGAGATGGGGTGGACGGGTGGTTCATGGCTTGCGCAATGTCCCAGACGGGCCAAGCGGTGCGACACGCATGCGAGGAGTGCCGTCTGGGTCTCTGGCCTCTGGCCTCGGCCGGCTCCCGCGTCGCCATGTATATAAGGATGCGCAGCCTCGCACGCGCGACGCGCCGCAGCCTCGCCCGCAAAGCAAGCAGACGCAGACGACATGTCTCCCGCTCCGCACACAAACGGCCAGGACGAGAACGGCGCCAAGAACGGCGCCCGGAACGGCGTCAATGGCGCGGCCAAGCAGTACGCCGCGTACACGGCGGCGACGGGCAGCGGGAAGCCCCAGAGCTGGTCGCTGTCGTACTTTCGCCAGGCCTCGCGCCGGCCGCTGCCCAACGAGCTGGGCGACGGGACGTACCGGCCGGTGGTGAAGCGGGCGTCGCTGATGCAGGACATTCGCAGCATCGGATGGGCGGGTGAGTCCACTTACACGACACGCACGGCACGTAAGCCGGCTGACACGGGCCAGACCTCAAGACGCTCAAGGACATCGCCCGCTCCAAGCTCAAGGGCGAGAAGCAGCAGGACGACAAGACCATGGTCATGGAGCGCACCATCCAGCTCGTGGCGACGATGCCGAACCACTCGGCGCGCCAGGAGGCGCTGACCAACATGTTTATCGGCGAGCTGTGGGACTCGCTCGACCACCCGCCGCTGCTGTACATGGGCGACGAGTTTCGCTGGCGGCAGCCGGACGGCTCCAACAACGTGGGTGCGGCCGAGGCGATGGGACGAGCTTGGCTGACATGCGCAGAACCCCACGATGCCCAAGCTGGGCGCCGTGGGCACGCCGTACGCGCGCACCGTCAAGCCCGGCAAGAAGAACACGGGCGCGCTGCCGGACCCCGAGACGGTGTACGAGTCGGTCATGGCGCGGGGCGAGTTCAAGAAGAACCCCAACAACGTGTCGAGCATCCTGTGGTACTGGGCGACCATCATCATCCACGGTACGTGCGCCGGCCCCTGAGACCCCAATGGTCGCTGACCGGCAGACCTCTTCTGGACCAACTCCAAGGACGGCAACACCAACGACTCGTCGTCGTACCTCGACCTGTCGCCGCTGTACGGCAACTCCAAGGAGGCGCTCGACTCGATCCGCACGTTTGAGCACGGCAAGCTCAAGCCCGACACGTTTGCGGACCGCCGGCTGCTGGGCAACCCGCCGGGCGTGTGCATCCTGCTCATCATGTTCAACCGCTTCCACAACCACGTGGCGGAGCAGCTCGCCGCCATCAACGACAACAACCGCTTCGCGCGGCCGTCCGGGCAGGGCACGGCCGAGGAGACGGCCAAGGCGTGGGCGCGGCGCGACGAGGAGCTCTTCCAGACGGCGCGGCTCATCACGTCGGGCCTGTACATCAACATCACGCTCGTCGACTACGTGCGCAACATCATCAACCTCAACCGCGTCGACACGGAGTGGACGCTGGACCCGCGCCAGGAGATGGGCGTGTCGGCGGGCACCGCCAAGGGCTCCGAGAGCGGCGTCGGCAACGCCGTGTCGGCCGAGTTCAACCTGTGCTACCGCTGGCACTCGTGCATCTCGCAGATGGACGACCAGTGGATCCAGGACTTTTACAGCCACCTGCTGGGCGACGACTACGGCGAGATGAACCTGCAGGTGCTCATGGCCGCCGTCAAGAAGTTTGAGGCGTCGATGCACCCGGACCCGGGCCGGCGCGAGTTTGACAACATGCGGCGCGGGCCCGACGGCCGGTTCCACGACGACGACCTGGTGCAGCGCCTCGCCACGGCCATTGAGCAGCCCGGCGGCGCGTTTGGCGCGCGCAACGTGCCGCGCATCATGAAGCCGGTCGAGATGCTCGGCATCATCCGCGGCCGCCGCTGGAACCTGGCCGGCCTCAACGAGTTTCGCAAGCACTTTGGCCTCAAGGCGTACGCCACCTTTGAGGACATCAACTCGGACCCCGAGGTCGCCGACGCGCTGCGCAACCTGTACCAGCACCCGGACCACGTCGAGCTGTACCCGGGCATCGTCGCCGAGGAGGGCAAGACGCCCATGGTGCCGGGCGTGGGCATCGCGCCCACCTACACCATCTCGCGCGTCGTGCTGTCCGACGCCGTGTCGCTGGTGCGCGGCGACCGCCACTACACGACCGACTACCACGCCGGCTACCTGACGCAGTGGGGGTTCAACGAGGCCAACTACGACTTCAAGACGAACCACGGCTGCGTCTTCTACAAGCTCTTCCTGCGCGCGTTCCCGGACCACTTCCGCCCGGACTCGGTCTACGCGCACTACCCCATGGTCATCCCGCCGGAGAACCGCAAGATCCTGACGACGCTCAAGCGCGCCGACCGCTTCAGCTGGGAGCGGCCGCAGCGCCGCGCGCGCGTCGTCCGCGTCTCGTCGCCGGCCGCGGCCCGGCAGGTGCTCGGCGACGACCAGCGGTACCGCGTGGCGTGGACGGGGCTGGAGCCGCTCGTGGGCCACGCGCGCCTGTCGGCCGACGCGCTGGACCCGGCGCGCCTCGACGTGCTGCTGTTCAAGGGCGAGTGGCGGGCGTCCATCAAGGCGTTTTATGCGGCCACGGCGGAGCGGCTGTTTGCGGACAAGACGCACCGCCTCAACGGCAGGCAGCAGGTCGACGTGGTGCGCGACGTGGGCAACCTCGCGCACACGCACTTTGCGGCGCGGCTGTTCAACCTGCCGCTCAAGACCAGGGAGAACCCCAAGGGCGTCTTTGCGGAGCAGGAGCTGTACGCGGCGCTGGCGACCATCTTCGCGGCGCTGTTCCGCGACCTGGACCCCATGCGCTCGTTTCCGCTGCGCGCCCGGGCCAAGGAGCTGGCGTCGCAGCTGGGCAGCATCGTCGAGACCAACGTCAAGCTGGCCACGACGCTCGGCGTCGGCGGGCTGTTCACGGCCAAGCCCAACAAGGCCAAGGACGACCTGTCGGCGTACGGCGTGCACCTCGTCAAGGGGCTCGCCAAGGGCGGGCTCAAGGCGCACGACATCACCTGGGGCCAGGTCATCCCCGCGGCGGCGGCGCTGGTGCCGACCGAGGCGCAGGTGTTTGCCGAGGCGGTCGACTACTACCTGACGCCGGCGGGGCAGCGGCACGCCGACGAGCTTCACCGGCTGGCGGCGTCGACGCCGAGCGCCGAGACGGACGCGCTGCTGCTGGGGTACGCGCTCGAGGGCGCGCGCCTGGGCGGGCCGCCGGGCGTGTACCGCGAGGCGACCGCCGTCGACAGCGTGGACGGGGCGGCGGTGCAGGCGGGCGACGGGGTGTGGGTGACGACGGCGGCGGCGGCGGGACACGGACACGGACACGGACAGGGAGGCGACGACGCCGCCCGGGTGGACCCGCGGCGGGCGATGGACGCCTACCCCTGGTTCGGGGCCGAGTCGCGGCGCGAGGTCAGCGAGCTGGCGCTGGTGGAGCTGTTCCGGGCGGCGTTCCGGCGGAGGCTGCGGCGGGTGCCGGGGGCGCAGGGCGAGCTCAAGCGCGTGCCGGGCGGGTATCTGACGGAGGACTGGGGCGACGAGGTGCCGTTCCCGGCGGCGATGAAGGTGATTTGGGAGTAGGGGGCATTGGGTGCGTGAGACGGATGTGGATGAACTAGTTGTATGTTTTCTGTTGCGCTGCTGCGTTGCTGTGTTTGCTGTGCTTGCTGTTGTGCTGTGCTGTGCTGTGCGGTGCGGTGCAGTCCCTTCACCTTGCTGCAGTGCTCCAGGCCCTCGGTCCGTAATGTGTCTCGCCTCAGGGGCAGCTCCGGGTCACAGCGCACCCCTCGAAACGAATCCAGGCTCTTGCGAGACAAATCCAGCGCTGCATGCCGACGGCCTGCCGTGCCGAGCGCCCAGATGCCGCTGCGCCACAGCGCAGGGTCCATCCAAGCGCAGCGCCCGTGCGGCGGTCGAATGACGTTGCACGTTGCCCCGCCGCCGCCCACCCCGCGAGCGGGACGCTGGCGCCCGCGCTGGAGCACAGCACAGCACAGCACTCCGCAGCACTCCCCAGCCAAGCCGCCAGCGTCCGCAGCTGGAGACACCAGCTCACTCAACGTTCCGACGCGACCGAGCAGCTTGGCATCTTCCTCATCTTCGCCCAAATCAAAACATGCCCAGCAGCAGTCACCATGGCGAGCTTCCTGCGCAGCAAACAGGCCGGCATCCAGAATGATTTGTCGGCGAGCATCCGCCCGGAGCTGTTTGCGCCCGACGACCAGGCGCGCTACGGCATCAACTCGCAGATAAGGTGAGTGCACCGTCACGTTCCCTGATGGCTCACTATGGCGATGCCACGACGGTGATGCCACCACGATGGTCATCACGTCCCGCTGACCCTGCCCAGCTGCCTCGCGTACGACCCCGTCCAGTCGCTCCTCGCCATCGGCACCAGCGAGTCCCGCTTCGGCCCCGGCTGCATCTACGTCTTCGGCCAGCGCCGCGTGCAAAAGGTGCTGCGGCCCTCGCGGCCCACGTCCATCCTCAAGATCCAGTTCACGGCCAACCGCCTCGTCAGCCTCGACGCCAAGAATGAGGTGGCCATCTGGGACCTCGACGCCGGCGAGCGCCTCACCGGCCAGATCATCGCCGGCCGCGTCGTCGACATGGTGACGGACCCCATGCTCGACTGGGCCTTCCTCGGCCTGCAAAACGGCGACGTCGTCGCCTACGACCTCGACCGCCGCGGCCTCGCCCGCGCGTTCCGCCTCCCCAACTTCTGGGCCGCCGAGCGCGGCCCCAACGCCCGCGCCGCCACCCTCGTCTGCCTCGCCCTGCACCCGCGCGACGTCGGCAAGCTGCTCATCGGCTACTCCCACGGCGCCGTCGTCTACTCCTTCAAGCAGAACCGCCCGCAGCACTTCCTCGAGTACGTCCTCCAGCCCGGCGCCCCCGGCGGCAGCAGCGCCGGCGTCGACATGCCGCGCCGCCCGCGCCTCACGCACGCCGTCTGGCACCCCTCGGGCACCTTTGCCGTGACGGCCCACGACGACGGCAGCCTCGCCCTCTGGGACCCCAAGGAGGGCCGCCTCGTCACCGCGCGCACCCTCGCCCGCAACCGCGTCGACCAGCCCGCGCCCAACTCGGCCCTCGCCACCGCCACCGAGCCCTTCACCAAGGTCGCCTGGTGCTGCAAGCAAAACTGCGAGGACACGGGCCTGCTCGTCGCCGGCGGCCAGAGCCCCGACGCGCCCAAGAGCATGACGTTTGTCGAGCTGGGCCTGACGCCCATGTACGCCACGTCGTCGTGGCAGGCCCTGGGCGACTGGTTCGCCGGCAAGCGCCAGGTCGCGCTGCCGCTGCCTGCCGGCGCCCAGGCCGTCGACTTTCTCCTCGTCCCGCGCGCCTCGCCGCACTTTGCCGGCGCCCAGGACCCCATTGCCGTCATCACGGCGCTGTCGTCGGGCGAGCTCCTGACCATGAGCTTCCCCTCGGGCTACCCCATCAGCCCGACCAACCAGCTGCACCCGTCGACCTTCTTCGTGCACCCGTTTGTCACCAAGGTCAACGTGTCGAGCCTCGAGCGCCCGCGGTGGCTGAGCATGTTTGAGAAGCGCGACCAGGGCGAGCCGCTGCTCAAGGGCGGCGCCGAGGCCGCCCGCCCGCGCAAGCGCTTCGAGGAGCGCACCATCATCCAGGCCGCCCACGTCGACAGCACCATCCGCATCTGGGACTCGGGCCACGCCGACGACATTGAGAACGGCCAGGTCCTGCAGGTCGACATGGCGCGCGCGCTGGACCGCTACGACGACGTCGAGATTACCGCCATGAGCATGGCCAGCGGCACGGGCGAGTTCGTCGTCGGCACGCGCACCGGCGAGGCCGTCGTGTTCCGCTGGGGCGGCAACCGCTTCTACGGGCGCGAGTCGGGCCAGACGCTCGAGCCGAACCCCAAGGGCCTGACCGACATCAGCTCGCGCGCCGACCCGACGCTCAAGGAGGGGCTGCAGCCGTTTGTGCTCTACGAGATGATGATGGGGCCCATCACGGCCGCGCAGGTGTCCAACGTGGGCTTCGTGGCCGTGGGCTCCGAGCTCGGCTTCCTGACCATCATGGACCTGCGCGGGCCGAGCATCATCTACCAGGCGCCCATGACGGACTTTGCCAAGCAGGAGAAGCGCACCTCGTTCCTCAAGGGCCACCACCACTCGGCCGCGCCCCAGAAGGAGTGGCCCGTCGTCATTGAGTTTGGCGTCATGACGCTCGACGACGACAAGTACTCGAGCATCTGCTGCTTCGTGGGCACCAACCTCGGCAAGGTCATAACCTTCAAGCTGCTGCCCGCCGACGGCGGCTACTCGGTGCAGCTGGCGGGCGTGGTGCAATGCGAGGGGCGCGTCGTGTCGCTGTCGCCCATTGACGCCAACACAGGGCGGCCCGCCGCGGCGACGGGCCCGATTGTGGCCGGGCTGCGCGAGGGGCGGCAGGTCAACGGCGCGCTCGTGGCTGGTACGTTGACTACGATGTGAGGCAGAATCGGGCAATCTTGCTAACATGGCACAGTCACGCAAAACGAGATGCGCGTGTTCCGGCCGGCCCACGCCAAGGGCGCGTCCCGCGAGTTCGACGACGTGCTCTGCGACGCGGCGACGGTGGCGGAGCTGGAGCTGCAGGGCTGGGCCATTGTGGGGCTGTTTGGCGACCGCACGGCGCGGGCGTTTTCGATCCCCGGGCTCAAGGACCTGGGGCGGGCGGAGCTGCCCATGGTGGACGCGACGCGCAGCACGTCGGCGGTGGTGACGCAGACGGGCGACATCTTTGCGTGGTCGGGCCCCAGCGAGCTGGCCGTGATCCACGTCTGGGGCACGGGCAAGCCGTGGCAGCAGTCGCCCGACACCATGGTCAACCCCAAGCTCGAGTGCCCGCCGCGGCCGACCATCTCCAACGTGCAGTGGATCTCGGGGACGCAGTACGTGTCGCCGCTGGACCTGGACCTGCTGGTGGGCGGGCCGGACCGGCCGCCGAGCAAGCGCATGATGGAGGCGGCGGCGGCGGAGCAGCGCCTGTCTCTTATACACATCTAGATGTGTATAAGAGACAGGACCTGGACCTGCTGGTGGGCGGGCCGGACCGGCCGCCGAGCAAGCGCATGATGGAGGCGGCGGCGGCGGAGCAGCGCGCCGCGCGGGGGGCCAGCGGCACGGCCGCCGTGGCCGCGGGCGCCGCCGCCAACGAGACGTGGGGGGCGTACCTGACGCGCCAGCTCAACGAGCGCACCGAGAAGCTGAACCTGATGGGCGACGGCATGGACGACCTGCAGCAGCAGAGCCAGGGGTGGGCCGACGACGTGAGCAAGTACATCAACAAGCAGAAGCGCAACATGGTGATGGGCAGCCTGAAGAGCAAGTTTTTCTAGTCTGGCTAGCGCGACGAGACCGATGAGACCGACGAAGCGGATGGCTGACGGGCAGCTTGGGGGGCAAGTTCGTTCACCAGACCGGGGGTCGGATGGCTGATGGGAAAGGGGGCATAGATGGCAGGGGCCGATGCGACACTGGGAACAGGGCAGAGATGTGAACCGCAAGGACGCGGTCGGAAACGAGCTGGCGGCGTTGGGGGCTGCATTTCGGTCGCGCATTCGCTGTAGCTGCGACGCCCGCCTCGGCGAGCGTCCGTCATCTTTTGGTTTCGTAGATCAAGGAACGTTTGTAGCTTGCGCAGCTGCTTGTCCAGTGACCTTTGCGAACAGCGTGCCGTCAGCCGGGCATGGAAGGATGCAGAGGGTGGTCGCCCGGCGCCCGGCACGGCAGATGGGCGCACGACTGACGGAGCCGACAGTCCGTCCGCTGCAAGGGCATCGCCAAGCACGGCGCCACCAGATGGAGATGATGGGCTTTGGTCTGCCAAGGAGAACGAGAAGCAGCGCGCGTGGTGGTTGGCGGTGCGAATAAGCGCGGCGCAGGTTGGACCGTCTTACGGCGCATCGGCCGCGAGGGATCGTGCCACCCTACATCCCGCCCATCGCGTTGCGCTCCCGTGCGCTAGCCATGCCGCCATGTGCCGCGGGTTCCTGGAGGAGCGTTCTCGTTTTAGAAACCAGATGCTGCCGAGACGAGATGGTGCCTGGGCGATCGGCAGTGGCGAGGCATTGTTGTATCTGCCCGTGCTTGACTTGGTTCTTCACTGGCGGTTGGCTGCGCGTCATCGAACTGCGATCTGCGGCGACCTGGGTTAGGATTGAGCCGTGGACAAGGCTGCGCAGGCATACAGAACGTGTTTCGAAAACCAACAGCTGGCATGGATGGGCCTCTGGACCGCGTGTTGGATGCGCTCAGCTGGCCTGATCCCGACGTGCGCGCTCCGAAATTGGTATACAGGTCGGGCGCACGGCGGCGACGGCAGGACGGCGACGTTGCATCCTGACGCTGCGCGTTGAGATGAGCGTCGTTTTCTCTCTGGCGACCTCGGGGTGATTACGGCGTCGGCTGGTTGACTGTCCGCTGTAGCAGAGCACGACGGGAAACTGGAAATGGGCAAGGTATAAAGATGGTCGTTGTCTGCCCGCATCAAGTCCATCTGCCTCATCATCCCAAGCGAGGCAAGCAACGCAAGAAAACCAACACAGAAGACTCAAAATTCAAGCATCATGAAGGTCACCGGTCTCGTCGCGTTCGTCGCCGCGCTGGGCGCCTCGTCCGCCCTCGCCGCTCCCGCCCCGGCCCCCGTCGCCGAGGTCGAGGGCGAGCTGGCCGCGCGCGCCAACCTGCCGGGCCTCAACGCCAAGCAGAGCGCCCACGCGCGCGCCATCATTGCCGAGACGAAGAAGGAGAAGCTCGGGCACCAGGGCTGCCTCGCGGCCATAACCACCGGCCTGACCGAGGTATGTGCACACTCTTCCATTCTCCCCCATCCCGTGTCGCTGCCTCCTCCCTATCTTCGTGCCGAAACCACCAAGACAGCGATGCTGACCCTCGCAGTCCTCCCTGCGCGTCCTCGCCAACAAAAAGGTCCCCCAGTCGCTCAAGTACAAAAACGACGGGCTCGGGTCCGACCACGACAGCATCGGCATCTTCCAGCAGCGCGCCATGTACTACAAGGACATCAAGTGCGACATGGACGCGGCGTGCTCGGCCAGCCTCTTCTTCAAGGGCATGAAGGCCGTCAAGGGCTGGCAGAAGATGGACGTGGCGACGCTGTGCCAAAAGGTGCAGCGCTCGGCCGTGCCCAGCGCGTACAAGAAGCACGTCGACGCGGCGGGCAAGATTTGCAAGGCGGGCGGCGCCTAGACGACCAGGGGCGTTGACTGAGCTGTGTTTGTGTAGATGAACTGTCTAGATGTGTAACAAGTACGAATGCTGTATATACAAATTCTACACTGCTGCGTGAGAGAGTGATCATTGCAGAACCACAGAGTGACTGCCCTGACCTGACGAGACCTCTCGCTTGCCGACTCTGCTAAAATGCCGGGTTCCGCCCGCCGTGCCCCGGGTTCTGCCGGTGCGCGCGGAGCAGCAGGCCGGGCCAGCTCCCCGCCGGGTGCTTCTGCGTGCTCGGCCACGTCAGGTTGTCGGGCGCGTCGCCGTGGCCGGCCTGCCCGACGACGGCATTCGCGAGGACCACCTCGACGTCGAGCCTGGGCAGCAGGGCCTCGGCGTCGGCGCACGCGGCGGCAGCCCCCGGCGTGGCGTCGCGCGTGGCCTTGGAAAAGTCGAGCATGACGCCGAAGCGCACGAGCCGCGCCAGGGGGTCGATGCGCTCCGCGATGCCAGACGAGGTGTGCACGGCGATGGCGGTCCAGATGCGGTGCGCGTCGGCCTCTGCGGCGGCTGCAGTGTCTGCGGGAGCATCAGGGGAAGCGGAAGAGGCAGAGGACGAAGCAGAGGCCTTGAGGAAGAGCGCCTTGGCCGCGTCGGCGCCCTCGATCTCGAAGCGCTGCGGGCCGTTGAAGCGCTCGCTGGCGCCGAGGTCGTGGCACACGCTCGCGACGAAGAGCAGCTCGAGCCCGGGGCCCTGCGTGTAGGCGCGGGCGCCCTCCGTCTCGGCGAGCCAGCGCGCGAGGAGGAAGACGCGCAGGGAGTGGTTGACGAGGGGCTCGGGGAGGGTGTCGCGGGCGAGGGCGAGGGCCTGGGCGCAGACGGGGCTGCTGGGGATGCGGTCGGCGAGGGGCATGGTGATGTTGCTGACGATGGCGTGAGGTGAGTGAGGTGTGAGCGTGTCTGAATTGATTGGGTGAAGCTTAAGCGTTCTGCTTGAATCTGCGTCTGGGTGAAGCGACGATCGTGACGCCGTGTAAGTCGGCCGGCCGCTTCATATACCCTCCCCTCATCCTGTCGCTTTACTAATGAAACCCGCCCCAGACGTCCTTCCCACGTGCTGCCGCTGCTTCAGCTCGCCAATCTACCCCACAGCAAAGGGCGCGCGCGGTCAATGCCGACGCTCGCCGAGCCGTCGCCGTGTGCGCCGCCGAGTTCAATTGGGGCCTGGCAGGGCTTCGGGGCTGGCGGATCCACTGGCCGGCACCACCGGCGGGCGCTGCGGGGCTTCGCTGCCGGCTTCCCAAAGCGGACGGCGGGCAGCGTCGTGATTGATGGGACGAAATGCGCCTCCAGACGTCGAGTGTGTGTCAACCTCAGGTTGGCACTCTGCGCGCGGGAAGGGGAACGAGAATTTTGGCACAATGCATAAGCAGGTCGTCAGCGGCGGGCCGGCTACTTAAGACGGCTTCAATCACGTCTTTTCCCCAATTCCTCGTCTTCAGTCTCCTCTCACCAGCAGTCTTGCGCGCGCACATCCGCATCGCCCACTTACACCATCGCCCATCACCACCACCACTTACACGGGACGCCCCCACCAGCTGCAAGCCACCACCACCAACATCGCCATGGCCGACGTCGAGCGCAACGGCTGGACCGCCGTGCCCTTGGACCCCAGCAAGCTCTTCCACGGCAAGCCCTACATCAACGAGCCCACGGCCATTCGCGTCGCCGACATTGCGTTCCCCGAGGATGCCGTCGTCGGGTTCGTGCGCGACCACGCAAAGGCCAAGCTGCCAGACAAGACATTCAACCACTCGATGCGAGTGTACTACTACGGTGCGTTGCCCATGGCAGCAAGAACAACCACATCGCCATCATCAAAATCAAGCACCAGCTAGCGCTAGCAAAAAGGCTAACACGTCGCTGTCAGCCACCGCCATCCTCAGGGAGCAGTTCCCGGAGCACAGCCAGCTCTCGCCCGTCACCCTCGCCCTGACGTGCCTGCTGCACGACATTGGCACCGCCGCCGAGCACATGGCCGCGTCGCGCATGTCCTTCGAGTTCTACGGCGGCATCCAGGCGCGCGACCTGCTGCTGGGCCAGGGCTGCGCGCAGGACCAGGCCGACGCCGTGTGCGAGACCATCATCCGCCACCAGGACCTGGGCGTCGACGGCACCATCACCTTCCTCGGCCAGCTCATCCAGCTGGCCACCATCTTCGACAACGTCAGCGACCACCCCAGCGTCGCCGACTTTGGCCGCGTCCTGCACGAGCGCACCCGCGAGGACGTCATCGCCGCGTTCCCGCGCCGCGGCTGGCTGGGCTGCTTCGCCGACACGGTGCGCCGCGAGGTCGAGCAGAAGCCCTGGTGCCACACCACGCACATCCCCGACTTTGCGGACAAGATTCTCGGGAACAAGCTGATGGCGCGGTACGAGTAGCTTTGGCCCGGCCCGGCCCGGCGGAGCAAGGTTTGTCGCTCAGCGAGGTGAAAGGGAGGACTAGGGGGCTGGCCTGCGTAGGATAGGAGACGCTCAAATTCAAACACGCTGGCCCACGCCCGTCACGATCCGTCCGCCTGCAAGTAGCTTTGCCCGGCGCAGCGCCAGGCTCGTCGTCCGACAAACTGTAAGCCAGACGAGCGGCTCCTGCTGGTGCTTTGACCAGAGCAGAGCAGGAGACATCCAAGTCCGCAGCCCTCGGAACTTGAATACGTTGCTGGTGGCTCTTGCCCGGTGGCATGCAAGGTTTGTCGTTTGGCAGACTGTAAACAAGACCGACCCGACCCGTATGGCCTGGGCATGGGTTGCTATATAAACAGCACTTTCAAACTTGTAGACAGCTCGACTTCTCCCCCGTGCATCCACAGCGACAGACGTTCATTCCCATCATCCAGACACAGATTCGTACTCATCTCGTCCAAGTTCACTGCTTCGACAACCTCGCTCTCATTCATCTTGGACACTGCAATGAATACCAACGACTTTATGATGCCGCAGGGCAACGGGGACGAATGGGACAACACAGTCGACCTTGGTCTTTCGTCCAGCCAACCGTGGCCGCAGTATCAGGGCGCGGTAACCCAGTATCAGGACCCGGCCACGCAGTATCAAGGCGCCCCAACGCAATATCAAGCCGCAGGAGCGCCGTATCACAGTCCGGCAGCGCAGTACCAGAGCGCTGCAATCCTATTTCAGGCTACGCAAACACGGTATCAAGGCTTCCCAACGCAATACCAAACCGTAGCAGCGCAGTCTCAGAGTCCGGAAACGCAGTACCCGGGCGCCGTACCGCAGCATCAGGGCCCGGCATGGCACTATCAGGGCGCAGCCGCCCTTCCCACCAACTATGACATGTTTCTTCCCAACGGCGCGGGATACATGGACTGCCAGCCGGCCAACGCTTACGCTTTGGGCCAAACGCCTCCGCATCAAGTGGCACATGCCCCTGCAGGACTCCATCCGGGTGTGTTGGCCACCGGCGCTGGCCCTGTCTTGATGTCCGCCGCCATGCAGCCGGCCACACCCTACCGGCGCGCCCCGGCATCCCGCCCAAACGGTCGCGGGCCCTCAGGAAAGTGGACGCCCAATCGCCAAAAGGCCCGTCGCCCAAGCAAGCTCACCCGCAAGGCTGCCGGGCCGACGACCAAACCTCCCTCGCGCACACAAGACGACGACGCGGCCCTTGACGACGGCGCGGCCTTTGACGACGGCGCGGCCCTTGACGACGGCGCGGCCTTTGACGACGGCGCGGCCTTTGACGACGACGCGGCCCTTGACGACGGCGCGGCCCTCGACAAAGACGGTAAGCCGATCCCGAGGCTGTTTGACCCGAGCCGCTCCGCATGCAGCCGCCCGCCTGTTGCCATTTACAACCACGAAAAGTCGGTGCTGCAGCTCGAGGCCCCCATTCCCGAACACCCGTCGCCGCGCGTCTTTTCGCACCTCGAACGCGAATCCGTCGTCGTCTGCTGCGGTGCTGCCGTCCAAGGAAAAGACCGCGCGGCGTGGAGCGTGTTCTGCGGCTGGGGCTCCAAGCACAACGCGAGCGGCGTGCTCGGCCCAGACAGCGACGTGCCCCTGTCCGAGGTCGGGGCGCAGGCGTACGCCGTGTGCAAGGCCGTCGAGCTCGCCAGGTGCATCCGCCAGGACGACGCCACGTTGCGCCATGTATACATTGTCTCGTCGTCGCAGTACGTGGTCGCGTCCCTGACGAAAGATGCTCACTGGTTCGAGGAGAGCAAGGACAGCGGCAGGCTGGCGGCCAATCTCATCCGGGACGCGCTGAGGGACATCAAGGCCTTTGGGCGAAGCGGGAGAAGTAAGAATGCCCGGTGGATGAGGATGTGGGAGGTGCCGAAAGAGGAGAACAAGGAGGCCCAGAGCCTGGCCGCGGACGCGCTCAGGGGTCTGCCGGCATAGGAGTCGTTCAAGCGAAGCAGAGCCATAGATGACATGATACCCCCTGAATTCTGCCACCAACGCCGTCGTGCCTGCCTGTGGTCTGCGCGTCTTCCTCTCTTTGCACACGCAGCGCCTCCACGCCCAACCGGTTTACAGATGAGTAGTAGGAGCAATGGCAACGAGAGCAACGAGAGCAACGAGAGCAACGAGAGCAACGGCAGCAACGAGAGCAACGAGAGCAACGAGAGCAACGAGAGCAACGAGAGCAACGAGAGCAACGAGAGCAACGGCAGCAACGACAGCAACGACAGCAACAGGCAGCGCGCCGCTGCCGTCCTTTGCCTGCGTCAGTGCGCAGTGAATCGCTAGGGCAGCAAGGGGGTAGGGCGCGGCCGAGAAAAAATGTACCAAGGCTCTACAACTAGCAAAAGTTGGCTCTACGAACAGCACTCCTCTTCCAAATTGCATCGACGCCCACCCGCGTTCGCATAGACAAGGTGTATTGTATTAATGAGATCAAGTTAGGGGTTCGTGTACGTCTGGATTGGATCAGAAAGCCAGGACGGCCGCTCCGACAGCCAGCATGGCCGCTCCGCCCAGCGCCGCGGCGCCGCCGGTGCTCGACGGCACGGCGCTCGCGGTCCCCGAGGCCGAGCCGGCCGCCGTGCCCGAGGCGCTGGGGACGTGCTTGGCGACGCAGTCCGAGGCGGGCGCGCTGCTGGTGGCGGCGGCCGTCTCGCTCGCGGCGCGGCGGTCGACGGGCTTCTCGGGTTCGTCAGGCTCGTCCTCGAGCGTCGCGCCGGCCGACACAAACGTCTCCTGCAGCAGCTGCAGCAGGTCCTCGCGCCGGGCCAGCGCGGAAAACATGTCGGCGGCGAGGGAGGAGCCGCACTCGTCGTGCTCGCCGCGGTTGTGCCCGTGGTGGTGCTGGAGCTCGTCGCGCTTGGAAAAGTGCACGCCCGCCTTGGGCACGAAGCAGTTGTCCTGGCTGCGGCCGGCGCGCATCTGGCAAATCTCCTGCTTCATGCAGTCGCCGCGGCACTTGGCGTCGGCCTGCCAGCCGCGGCTCTTGCGCGCCATGTAGGCGTCAAAGTTTTCCGTCTTGGCCTCGAACGCCTCGGTCACGTTGTGCCAGAAGGCGGGCGACAGCTCGGCGCCCTTGGGCAGAGGCGGGCTGACGAGCGGGCCGTACGCCTCGCGCGCCGAGTAGTACTTGGTCCACTTGGGCCCGTCCTTGTTCTGGAAGCCCGGGTCGGACATGTCGGCCATGTAGGTGGTGGCGTCGAGGACGGCAAAGGTCTCGGGGTCGACGTCGTAGACGCGGAACGACGGCATGCCCGACGTGGGCGTCAGCGACGGGCAGATGTAGGAGACGACGGCGGCGTTGGCGGCGCGGCGCTGGGCGTAGTCGGCGTAGCTGACCTCGAAGTGGTCGACGTGCGTGTGGCCAAAGAACATGGCCTTGATGGTGTCCTGGTAGCGCAGGAAGACCTGGTCGAGGTAGTTGCTCTGGTCGGGCAGGCAGTCGTGCTCGCCGGGCGGCATGTGGCCAAGGATGTAGACGCTCTCGCCGGCGCGCTCGGCGGCGTCGAGCTCCTGCACGAGCCACGCGATCTGGCCGTTGGGGTCGCGCTCCATCTTCTTGTACAGCACAAAGTTGAAGCGGTAGTACATGTTGGTGTTGAGCGAGATGACGCGCAGCTTGCCGCCGGGGTACTTGACCGAGTAGGCGCCCTCGGCGCGCGCCGTGTCGGCCGACTTGCCGATCCACTGCTGCCACTGGTCGCTGAGCGTCTCGTAGACCCAGGAGGACGCGTTGCCGAGCGACTTGGGCTCAAAGATGTTGGCGGGGTGCGCTTCGTGGTTGCCGGCCGTGCCGTAGATGAGCTTGACGCTGCCGTTCATCTTGGTGTAGGCGTCCTTGACTGCAGGAATTACCCTCTTAGCGACTGCGCATGATACAGCTCGGCATCAGGCCCCGACTTACTCGAATTCTCATTGTACTCCTTGGACGTGTTGAACAGGCCGTGGTCGATGATGTCTCCGGTAAACAGGCTAAACGCGGCCTCCGGAAACATGTCCTTGATGGTCTTGTACATGCTCTGCTCGAGCGTAAACGGCACGTCGCAGTTGTGGTCGCCGTTGGGCCCGGCCGGGAACTTGGTCTTGCCGGGGGCGTCGGTCGCGTTGAAGGGCCGGCAGCAGGTGGGCTTGCCGCACTTTGTGCTCGAGCCCGCGACGTACAGCGGGTCGATGTGGATGTCGGAGTAGTGGACGACCTGGATCGGCTTCTTGCCGCTGGGCGCCGGGCGCCTCTGGTCGCAGGACCGCGGCGACGGGAACGGCACGGCCCAGGTGTCGACGGGCGGCGCCTCGCACACGCCGAGGAACGTCCGGCAGAACTCGTCGGCGGGCTTGCTCTTGGTCGTGATGTTGCGGAGGAGGTCGGCGATGACGGGGCCCTCGTGCTCGATGGTGCCGTTGCAGTACTGGGCGTCGAACCCCTGCGCGCGGGCATCGTGGCATGCGTGAGCACGGCGGCAAGGGCGTCAAGGACGTGCAGAGGGGAAACGTACCGTGCTCGACGTGCACAGGGTCTTGGCCAGTCCCAGAAACGCAGAGTTGCCGGTCTTGAGGAGGCCCTTGAGCACGCCAATGATGTTCTGTCCGGGCTCGTCAGCATCGCGGAGCACGCAGCAGATGGCGTCGACGGCGGGTCAACGGCCAACGCACCTTGCAGCCGTCGCAGGTCTTGAGGTCGCTGAGCGACTGGCGCGTCTCGAGCGCCCACGTCCCGTCGGCGAGCGAGCGGCGGGTGTGCTCGATGCCGCGAGGATACGGGTCCGCCGCCGCCAGGCCGCCGACGGCGAGGCAGAGCGCGAGGCCGCGCGCAAAGTTGTGCATCGTGACGTTGCCGTGCAGGGTTTTGTCTCTTGTCTCGCGTCGACACAGCAGGAGCAGCCGCAGGAAGCCCTTGGGACAGAGTGAAAGACCGGCTCGGCGCCCTCCCGCGTCGACGGGGTGGCGGACGTCCAGCTGCTTAAGAGCTGGAAAGCTGCGCCGAGCTTATGCATCGCAAGCGCGGCTGTCCGTACGAGCCATTGGCTGGGCCCCTGGCGACGACTCCGACTTGGACGTGGGCTTTGCGGAGAGCCCCTGTCCCTGGGCGTCGAGGGTGGGCCGGCGCGGCGTGGAGTCTGGGGATGGAGGCATCCGAGGTGTGGGTGGGCTGGCGGCGGACTGGCCGGTCGCGCGACAGACTTCGTACGGACAGGCATCGCCAAGAACGACGCGGTGGGAAAGGTAAAGTTGCAGCACATGCTCGCTTGGTCGCGGTCGTGGCAGACATGGTACGAGTATCCGCAGTCGCTTGTTCATGATCATTACGCGCGAGGGTCCGCCGTCGTCCGCTCGCATACTACTTGTACAGATGGGCCGAGTGCCTCACCGCCTGCGGGCGTCGAGGTCGTCGTCATGGACGCTGCACGCGCTGTGCTTGGCCTGCGTCGAGGCCGGTCCGGATCGTGGCCGGGGGCGGGGGCCATCATGGATGGTGTTGAGGCGTTGTGCTGGGGCGCTTTGCTGGGGCGCTGTGCTGAGACGCTGGAGTGGGTGCTGCTGCCTCCTCCTCTCCTCCACCACCAACCACCACCGCCTCCAATCTCTCGTCCTCTTCATCATCATCATCACCACCACCACCACCACCACCACCGTCACCGCATCCCGCGCTGCAGCCCGCGGCCTAATCCACGTCCACGTCCTGCATCTCCTCCACCGCCTCCTCCACCCACCCGCCCCGCAGCTCGTAGCCCACGCTCAGCGTCTCCGCGTCGGCATTGACGGCGATGCGCCGCACCCGCGCGTCGCCCGCCACGACGGCATCGCCGCCCAGCCCGCCCTCGAGCGCGACGACGCGCCGCGCCACCCGCGCCGCCATGTCGCTGCCCCAGATGCCCTCCTGCAGCCGGCCCCGCGCCATCAGGTCGATGGCCCGCCGCCGCGTCTCGGGGTCGCGGCACTTGGCGCACAGGAAGAAGAGCGCCGGCAGCACCCCGATCTCCAGGTAGAAGCGCGGCCCGCCGCCGTCGTCCGCCGCCGCCTCCTCCGCGAACCCGACCATCTCGCGGAACTCGTCGGTCCACTGGTCCCACGACGACGGGTCCTCGCGGTCCTCCTGGTCCAGCGCCGCAATATTGATGGACAGGTACCGCCGGTGCAGCTCCAGCAGCGCCAGCGCCCGCCGCTCGGCCGGGCCCAGCACGCGTCCCGTCTTGGCCATGGAGCGCCGGAACGCGTCAAACGCCGCGCACCACGCCCCGAAGCGCCGCGCCAGCGCCGTCACCGCCGCGGGCGGCATGTCGCGCCGGTACGCCACGGCCAGCTGCAGCAGCCACTCGCGCGCCTCGGCGATGGACGAGATGGTCCGCTCTGGAGACGACGCGTCGTCGGCGGGAGACGACCGCTCGAGCAGCGGCAGGATCGTCTTGGCGAGGCTGTGCTCGGTGTCGCCGCCGATGACCTGCGCGGCACGTCAGCCATCACCGTGTGCCTCATGGCGGGCGTTTCAGGTGCTTCGCGCGGAACCAAACGCACCAGAAACACTTGGGTCGCGATGCGCGAGAAAAACGCCTCAATCAGCCGCAGCGTCTTGTCAATCGACGGGTCCGCCGCGCTCGCGCCTCGCACCAGCGCGCACCCGTGCTTGAACAGGCTGATGGCGTTGGTCATGTTGCGCCGCAGGATCTGGATGTCGAGATTAGCCATTTTCCCGCCCGCCCGCCGGCTAAAGCAGCCTCAAAGCTAGACGGCGCCGCCCACCTCGATGCACACAAAGATGGTGCACGACACCAGCTGCAGGTGCATCGTCGGGTCGTCCCGCAGCGCCCGGATCGCCATGTTGTACTGCCGTAGGCCGTGCGCCTCGCTGCCGCTGTCCATGTCGCCGCCGCCGCCCGCGCGGAAGCGCTCGTGGTACGCCGACAGCGCGACCAGCGCGTGCNGCCGTAGGCCGTGCGCCTCGCTGCCGCTGTCCATGTCGCCGCCGCCGCCCGCGCGGAAGCGCTCGTGGTACGCCGACAGCGCGACCAGCGCGTGCCGCACGCACGAGCTCGAGTGCGCCAGCTGCAGCATCCGCACGCTCCACAGGTCGTCGGGCAGAAACGTCCCAAACTGCACCGCCGTCTGCTCCACAAAGAACTGCAGCGACCGCGTCTCCGCCGGCGTCGCCCACGGGTGCGCGCTCGGCGCCGCGCTCAGCGGGCCCGCCCCGGCCTGCTGGTAGCCGTCGCAGATGCGGCCCGTCGTCGTGCCTGTCGGTCAAGTCAGAACTGCCGTGCCGTGCCGTGCCGTCCCCGTAGTGACCGTGGCCACCGGCCTGGCCGACTCACATCGCTGGCACGTCGGCCGCCCCTCGTCGCACTTGACTCGGCGGACTGCGTGCGGGTCAGCCGCGCTCCTCGACTCCACGAGATCTGGACTGTTGACGGAACCATCACATACTCCTGCCCCCCACCGTCCCGTGTCAGCGCGTCCGTCTCAACTGTGAACCACCGCCGGCGGGATCTGGAACACTGACTTGCACGTTATGCACCCCGTCCGCACCTTGGGCGCCTTGGCGCGCTGCCGTTCGCCGGGCTTCACACGTGGCATCGCGAACTGCACGTACGAGATGTCCGTACGACGCGGCGAATCAGCCGGTTGTCGTTCTTAAATGTCGGCTCCTCCCGAGCCGTCACATGCCAGCCACGGAACCCGCTCCGGGGCGTCCTTACGAGCCGGCCAATCGACGGTTGCCCTCGGGCGATCCCCAGTCTCTGCGACCAATCCCCGGTTGCAGATCTACGACCTCTGCGCGGCCAATCACCAGTTGCGGGCCCGGCCGCCTCCGACCAATGGCGAGTTGCGCGGCGGAACGGTGGCCCGTTGTGGTTCATGCAAAGAGCCCTGGCCTGGCATCCCGGGGCATGTCAAGGTCGGCGTGGTGCCTGCATTCGCTGTCGAGTGCTGGACGCGAGCTGCTTTGGGCCTCGGCGTGACGGCCACTTTGATTTCTGCGCACGCGGCCGGAATTCGAAACAGGCCTTTTGTACAAGGACAGGCCCAAAGCAGAAGTGATGTGCTTTTATAACTGCAATGCCCTATACCGAAACGTCATGCACGCCGTTTGATCATGGACACGTGTGGCGTCCCGAAAATGTCTACCGTCCTGGTGCTCGCGAACCCGGCTGCTCGGTAGAGCGGAACGCCGGCCGGCGTCGCGACCAAGTAGCAGTCCTTGCCTTCGCACTCTGCCTGCCGCGTGCCCCAGTCGAGCAGGAGTCTGCCGATGCCCCTGCGCTGGTGGTGAGGGTGAACGCCGAGAGAGTCGAGATCTGTCATTGTCAGCGTGGTGATGCACTCGCGACGCACCAGCGGTGCAGCTGTCACTCACTCCACACATCATCAGACCCCTGCTCGCCAAACGTCTCCCGCGCGTCGTCCTCTATCACCCGGCGCAGCTGGCCCAGCGCCGTGCGGTCCAAGCCCTCGAATGCCATCTTGGGCCGCGGCAGCTCGGGCTCGTCGCCGTCCCGCGCGGGCGCAAACCACATGGCGTACCCGACGACGGTGCCGTGCGCGTCGACGGCCACCATCATGACGGAGCGCGCGATGCGCAACCGAGATGACTTGCGCGCCACGCTCCACTGCCTCAGACCCTGGTCGCTCGCGGCGGCGGCGGGGCCCCGCAGTCCTGGGAAGAGGTTGCGCGTGATGGCGTCGATGCTGGGGTCGAAGGCGGCGAGGGAGACGTCGACGATGCCGGCAATGTCTGCCTCGGTGGCGGGGCGGAGGTACAGGGCCATGGTCACGGTGTCATTGAGCAGGGTGGGCGACGTCGAGGTGCACCCTCCAAGGGCGGTGCTGGCTTTCTTATGCGCAAGTTTAGGACTTGCGTGCTGCCAGGACCGCAGTCCTAGAGTACTGGTGATGCGTGTAAGCACAGCGCGCCTTGGGCAGACACCGACATTCAGATCCTCCGCCCGCAGCGCCGTGTCAACACTCGACCCCTCCCGCGAAAATGACGTTCCAGTCGTCCCAGTGAAACACCTGCACCGAGCGCTCCTCGGCGCACCAGTCGTTCTCCTTGACCAGGTGCAGCGCCTCCACGATGTGCAGCCAGCTCCCCAGCGTTTTTGGTTTCCGGGCCTGCCAGGTCCGTCAGTCAGCCAACCGTCGAAGCCGCTCCGCTGCTCACCCTGCACCGCTGTGATTGCAGCAACTACGTAGAGACGAGGCGAGGCGAGGCAGGGCAAGGCAAGGTAGGGCAGGACCAGGCAACATTGAAGGCAGGGCAAGGCAGGGCATCCCACTTACGTCGTTGCACCACCGCACCGCCGTGTTCTCGGAGCAGCTCACCTGCGCGCAGGTGCCCGGCCCGGGCCCCAGACGCGGCGGCGCCTGCTTGGGCCGGCCCGCGACGGCGGTGAGGTGGTGGATCGCCGCGTCGAGCACGCTCCACCACGCGGCGTCGCCCGGGGGGAACACGCCGCAGAGGTGCTTGGTGTCGTCGCGGAAGACGTCGTGCCGCTCGGGCCTGCGACCGCTGCCGCGGGCTTGGTTGGGGGTGTGGGCGTTGCGCCGGGGCGGCTGCGCGTAGATGTCCTCCACTGTGATGTTGATGAGCGACGTCGTGTCGATGGCTGTTGCGTCCGCATCCGGGTCCCGTGTTGGTGCCGCGGCTGGGCCCTGCGCGAGGGCGAGCGCCTGTCACGTCAGCGTGCGGCATGCACGGGGCGAGTCTGATGCTTACCGCTGAGGCGGCAACGCACAGCGCGGTGAGTCTCATGGCGATGTGAGGTGAGCTGACGATGCGTCCACACAGCCGTCCGCGACGTTTCCTTTGCCTGGTTCAATGCTTCAATCCCATCTCTGCTGTCTCTGCAATGCACGCAGGCCGTCAGCGGCCCGACCAGCGAATGCCTTTTGTATCCATACACTTGTCGGGAGCGCCGACGGGCGCCACCGCACGTCGCGGTACATGCCGTCTGCGGGCGAAGCATTCGTGGTAACCGGCGGAGCACTGGCCGCCGACGGCTCAAATGTCCAACTTTTATTACATATGCTGGCTGATATCATGTGCTACTGCAGCGGAGGTTTCCAATGTTTCCTGTACCACGCACTGGTGGGTGTATGCAGACGGAGCGTGTCCCAAGCCCTCGTGCGCCGGCTGTCGCTGCTAACAAACTCGCACACATTTTGGTTCCGACATTGTCCCATGCCTCATTCCCTCCACGCCAATGCGCCGGTGCCTCGCCTGTTCTCCATCAGAGTCTGTGCAGTCACTGAGCGTGGCGTTTGGTCTGCTGGGCGCGTGGCTGCGCTGCGTGCGGTGGATGGTGTATCCTCCGGCCGTCCGAGCCCATGCAACGCTGGGCGAAACCTTTGCGATTCCAGCTGCGTGTCTCGCAGGGTCAACCTCCGCCTCGTCTTGGGGCGTGCATGCTTGGCGCGGGGTGCTCGGCCGATCACGTCGATGCCTGCCGTCGGTGGGCGTGGCGCAAACGCCGGGAGCGGCCGCGGTGCATCCCTTGGCGTCACGGCTGCTGCGCCTCGAGGCACCCTCGCCCGGGTAGTCGGCACGCCATCTCGCATGACGAGGCGCTGATCGGCTCTCGGCCCGTGCGGCGACGTCTCTTGTCCATCGCGTCGTCGGTCTCAATTACTCCTCGTAGTGCCACAGCCGCTTGCGCGACTCGGCCCACCACTGGGCCACGGCCTCGGCCTCGCCAACCCACGTCGCCGCCTCCTCGCCGTAGCTGGCGCGAATCTTTCGCTGCAGCCCGGCCACGGCCCAGGCCGTCGTGCGGTGCAGCTCCAGCGGGTCGTCCTGCAGGTCCGTAAACACCAGCTCCGACTGCTCGTCGCCCTGCGGAATCACCAGCCGCCACGGCACGTCGGCCGACGTCATGGCCAGGAACCGCCCGCCCGGGTTGACGACGCCAAAGTTCCACGCGCGCCGCCCGTGGTGCACCGTCTTGTACGGCCGCATCAGCGACTGGCCCTCGTAGTCCTGCACCAGGTCCGACGCCGCCGTCGTGTCCAGCTTGTTGAGCGAGCCCGTGCTGATGAGCAGGTCCAGCATCGTCGGGATGATGGACACGGACGTGGCGTTGTGCTCGTAGTGCACGCGCGGCAGCTGCGGGTGCCGCAAGATGATGGGCACGCGAAAGTTGCTGACGTGCCCGTTGGCGTACGTGCCCGTCTTGTGCCAGTCCTCCTTGAACGCCTGCCCGTGGTCGCCCACGAACACGGCCAGCGTCTCGTTGGCGATGCCCAGGTCGTCGAAGAGCTGCATCACCATGCCCATCCACATGTCGTCGAACCGCACCGCGTTGAGGTACTTGTTGAAGTCCTTGTGCTTGCTCTTGTCCGGCATGTAGTCGACCGTCTTGAACCACTCGGGCACCCCCCACGCGTGGTGCGTCGTGCTGGTAAAGTGCGACAGGAACATGCGCTTGTTGCCCGCCGTCGCGTTGGTGATGTGGTCGCGCAGGTGCGACTTGAGCGCCGTCTCCGGGTACCCAAAGTAGTTGATTTCCTCGAGCGTCGGGTCCTTGGCCGCGTCCTGGTCCATGACCTCCTTTTCGATGATGGGGTCGAAGCCAATCTTCTTCTCGAACTCGTGCTGCCGGTCGTACGAGTCGGTAATGGACATGAAGAACGCCGAGTTCCACTCGTGCTCGAGAAAGTCGGTGCCGTTGGCGCCCGTGCCGTTGGCCTTGAGCTGGTTGAAGAGGTTGAGGATCTGCGGGATGCACGGCTGGTAGCTGTCCGTCTCCGACTCCTCAAACATGGTGACGGACATGGGCCACACGCCGCAGTGGCTGGCCGCCATGCTCTTGGTCGACGCGCTGCTGGGCGTGTGCCCGCCGATGACGGTGATGCCGCCGTAGCCCGGCCGCGTCGTGTCGTTCCACACCGGCGCCGCCGCCCGCGGGTACGCCTTGCCGTCGGCGCCCTTGAAGTTGCCCGGCTTGCCGCTGATCTTTTCCGCGTTGGGCGTCAGCTGCGACAGCAGCGCGTTGATCTCGTCGCGCTTCTTGGCGTCGTGCGAGTCCAGGATGATCTGGTGGATGCCCGAGCCCTGCTGGATGGGAAACAGCTCCTCGCGCGAGCTCTCCATCTGGAACAGCGCAATGTGCTTGATGTTGATGCCGCCCAGCGCGCTCGCCAGCGCCGGCAGCACGTCCTCGCCGAGGTTGGAGATTTTGAGCGGGTCGTTGACGGGGTTGTACCATCTGTCGTCGGCCGTCGAGCTGTCGGGGCACTTGTCGTTGGAGGCGGGCGCCGGCGCCGGCGCGGACACGTTGAGGAACCGGGCCTGCTTCGACGCGTCGCCCTGCGCCCTGAGCGCCGGATCCCACCGGAAGAAGCCGTGGGGGACCGGGTCCGGCATCCACGACGGGACCCTCTCGGCGTACTTCTTGGCGAGCGCGCTGTCGGTGCCGGGGGCCCAGCCCTTGAAGTCGCCGCGGGGCAGCTCCCAGCGCGACTTGGCGATGAGGGCCGGCAGCGGCCAGGTGCCGTCGACGCAGTGGACCGACTTGCCCATGAAGATGCCCGCCATCGGCAGCGGCAGCGTCTCCAGCATGCGGCTGTAGGGGCGGTCGGGGTCGAGGAAGGTCGCGAGCGAGACGAAGAGGACGAGCGCCGCCGTCCCGACGATCCAGGGGGCGACGTGGGCGGCGCGGCACCGGCGCGGCGTGCCCTCGTCGGGCTCCAGCATCGACGTCGGCTTCTCGTCCTCAAAGTCGGAGTCGAAATCCTGCTCCTGCTTCGGGAGGAGGGGCTCGGCGGGCGCCTTGAGCAGGTGCTTGCCGACGCCGGTCGTTCGGGCGATGCATCGCAGGCCTGCTCCGTTAGCTACATGGACGGCATCAGAGGCCAGGGAAGCGCACCAGCAGAGACGTGGGCCTCGGCCCCCGACACAAACGCCGCGGCAAAGGCGTAGACGTAGCCCTTGGCGAACCAGGCGACGAGCAGGATGGCGCTCGCAAACGCCAGCGCGGTGCAGCTCTCGCTCAGCAGCACCTTTTTGCCCTCGGCGTCCGAGGCAAACGACTTGACGTCGGCCCACTCAATCTCGCCGCCCGTCTTCCACCAGAAGCTCCAGAACGAGGACGCGGCGCCAAACGTGATGAGGCTGGTGCGGTCAGCAGACGAAGCACCGGCCCGACAGACGAAGCAATACGTACCTGATCACGCACGCCACGATCCGGCCCACGAGCGACAGCAGGCCAATCTTGCGCCGCAGCAGCAGAAACACGCCCGTCAGCAGCACCACGTCGGTCAGGAAAAAGGCCGGCAGGCAGAGGAGGAAGAAGACGAGCGGAAAGTCGCCCGCGTTGAGCCACACATGGAGGATCTTGGTCGACTCGACCGCCACGAAGAAGACGGAAAACACCAGGCAGCTCAGCAGAGGGGGATTCATCGTGAATCACAAACGTCGGGCCAACATGAACGAAAGAGGAGTGGCCGGGTGGGCGAGCAAAGCGAAGAAAAAGAGAGTGAGAGAGAGTGAGAGAGAGCGACAGAAGGGGTCCGCCGGCAACGAAGAGGAAGCCGTCGAGTTCAAGGCCCAAGATCAAGCAGGTCGAAAGTCAAAAAGTCGAAAGTCAAAGCCGGGCACCGACGACGACGAAAGGGGGGGAGCGATCGAATCCAACAAAGCAACAAACGGCAAACAATAAAGGCGGGCGTGCCAGTCCAGCCAGTCCAGGCCAGTCGGGCCCGGTGCAGCGCTGCGAGTCTCTGAACGGACGCCCCCTGCCCTGGGGAAAAACGCGGATCGCGTAGCCGAGCTCGTATTGCTGCGCTTGCTGACCACTAGGGCGTGTGCTCACGCGACACCTTGCCCTGGCGGTGCTGGTGCCCTTTTTCAGCCCGCGGGCGGCCTAGCGGGAAGCGGCAGCAGCCTGGAGAGTTAGCTGGGCCTTGGATTCACAGGTCCTGCACGGAAAGCGTCCGGGGCGACTGGCCACGACGGGCGGCGCGCAGTTGCTTATTTCAGTACCGGAGACACCCACGCGAGGCGGGCAAACGCATGCGGACGAGATTGAAAACCCGGAAGCGTTCCACCAGCGTTGGCCGCGCGGTAGCTGGCGTACTTGTACTCCGTACCCGGCGACTGCGCCGCCCGCGTCGACGCACGAAGCCAACAGTCCAAGACTCAAGCCAACACGGCGGGCCGGACACCTGGCATGTGGGCGGCGTGGCGGCATGGCGGGCAGCAAAATAAAAAAGCACGCCGGCCCAGCTCTCCCCGCGGCGATCGGCATGCCCAGCGGTGGTACAGGTAATATTGCGCCCCGTACGGCCACGACGCACAGAGACGCGCCACGGTGACGCTACGTGAAAGTGGCGGCAATCCTTTTCTCTCTCTCCCAGCAAAGATGAGGACGCCAGTGCCAGGGGGCCTGCTGGGAAGACGGGCCCGGTCCCAGCACCAGCACCAGAACCAAGGACCGCTGTGGAAACCTGGACGCCTGGGAGAGCGAGCTGTGAACCCCTGCCAAGGAGCCTCGGAAACAAAGAGCCCGCATTGGACGCCACCGCGGCCCGGTCGATTGGTCTGCGGAGACCTTTGCGCCAGGGGGGTGGCGCCGCGCTCCAGTCTCGGCCTGTCAAGCCGTCGTCGACTGACGCGGGCCAACCGCTGTCGTGTGACGGGGCTGATGGCGAGAGACTGCGTGCAAGGAAAAAGGGGGCAGCACAAACCCAGCCCTGCTTGGGAGGGGAGCCGCACTCCCACGAACTCTGTGCGTGGCATTGTGGCACCGCCGGCGGTACGGAATCCCACGGCGCTCCGCTCTGGGCCTGCAACACGATCCTGGCCGTCTCGCCTTGGCAGCGGATAGAGTTTAGGAGTGCACCCATGGCGCCATCTGGCACCAGGTGCGTTGCGTCGGCCTCGTGTCTGTACCAAAGATCTCCACGACGCTCCCTCGCTGGATTTGAGACTGCGGCATGCCGGCCAGGACCCTTTCGATGGCTGTTGATGTCTGGCTGGCACGAGACCCCGTCCGCCCTTCCTTCAACGGTTGGTGCTGTGAGACATTGGCAGGCTGGAATCCGCCGTCTGGCTGCCCCCCGTCGACGGCATGGAATTATCCACCCTGCCCCGGTTCACGTCTGCCTTTGTCTGCGCTTTCGTCCGCCCCGTCTTCTGACGTCAGCACCCCTGCAGGGCTTTGAACCTGAACCTTGTCAAAGACAGGCCCTCACTTGTGTGTCCCGATGCAGAAAGCAGGTGGCCAGATGTCAACATGTCCCCGGGGCGGGCCACTGAGTCTGCCCGCATCACCCTGCGGCGAGTCGCCGTGTCGCCCATGTGGCACGACACGACTCTTGCTGCGCCGCAACACCGTTGGCAGGCAGCTCCAAGCCGGGGCGGACGGGGCGACGTGCCCACATGCCAGCCGCGTCAAACGCTCACGTCCTCCTCCACGCGGCCTCGTCGTTTCTGCCGCCTGTCCGGGCAGGGTCCGACCAAGCTTGGTTGCGGGGAGCTCGCATCTCGTCCGTGATTGATACGGAAAATGGGCCTGTAGGCAGCCGCACCACAGGGCGTACGAGTCTGCGTCGACGCCAGCTGAACCCCTTTCCGCGCCGGCCTTTTCGGATACGAGTACCGGCGGAGGCTGAGATGCCGGCATTGTTGTCGCGTAGTGAACCTGGGTACGAACGGAGGCGATGCCGCGTGCCAATCACAACGAATGTCACGGACCGTTGGGGTCTATCTGCGCCTTGGAGACTGGCGTGGTTCATATGCCGCCAACAAGGGGGACCGTCTCTGTGAGGATCATGATGAAGCCACAGGGGCCCGAGACACGAAGCGAGCGTGGTCCCAGGCCAATGGCGCCAAAGATAGCTTGCATCGGGGCTTCGGTCTATTGAATTTGGCGACACGTCGATCGATGGACTTTGGTCGCCATCGCGTCAAGCTTCCTCACTGACGAAGCAGGACGCTCCTCGGCACCCACGCTTGCCATCTGCAGTAATCGAGCACGAGGGCTGCAGGCGTCGGCAGTCGTGAGATGTCCGGTTGCCACTCGCTGCGGGCACATTGATCGGCCATCTTCACCTGAAGGCGCGTCAAACACTGTCACAATGGCTGCTTGCGACCAAATCATCTGCTCACATGTGGCTCTTTGCGTTTGTCTTGGCCGTTCCAGGCCCAAACGTAAGCTTGCATGCAGCGTGAGCGAAGCAGTGATGCCAAATTGAAGGCCATGGGTATGGGGTACGATTCGGCTGCTGCCGTCCCCTCCTGTCTTGTGCAACTCACGGTCGGCACATACCCTGACTTGTTACGCTATGGTGAGCTGGCCTCTCTTTGTTTTTGGCTTCCTTTCCCGCAGGTGAATGCATTACCCGGTCTCCCCAGAGGAACCCCTCGCGGTTTTCCGCCGACATCCGTTGGCTTGCAGGCTGCCCCCAGGTCCCTCGGTCCTCGCTACGGCTTAATGTTGAAGACGACGCGCTTGCCGCCCTTGGTGCTGATGCGCTCGTTGACGCCCCAGAGCTCGCCCGTCCGCGGCCAGTACGCCAGGTTCTGGGTCAGCGGCGGCGCCTTGGTGAGCACGTGTGGCGCGCCGTCGGGCAGCGCCTTGTGGATGCAAATGTGGTTGTTGGGGTCGTTGGCCGGCGGCGCGCCCGGACAGTCGCCCGAAACGTAAAAGGCCTTGCCGTCCGTCGCGATGCCCTGCTGATGCCAAACGGGCGACGCAAACGCCTCGGTGGCCTTGCCCGTCGGCAGCCCGGAGGCGGCGTCGAGGCCCCAGCGAATCACCCGCCCGCCGCCGGCCTTTTCGGCGTAGTACTCGGCCGTCACAAAGGACTTGCGGTCCGGGGCCAGCGAGATGGAGTTGAGGCAGGGCGTGTCGCCCTTGGCCGAGGCGCAAGACTTCCACGACCCGCCGGCGCCCCAGGTCGTGCGGTACTCGGCGATCATGGGCATGGCCCAGCCGTGCCAGCGGGCGTAGGCGCCGTCGGCGACGAGGCCAATCTTGCCCGCGTTGCCGCCGTCGGTGCGCGTCTTCCAGATGTGGTCCAGGCTGTACACCTGGAGCCGCACGCCCGTGGCGAGAAACAGCTTGTTGCCGAACCACATCAGCCCGTCGGCGTGCACGTTTTCGACGCTGGCAAAGTTGCCGTTGGAGGTGGGCTGCACCAGCAGCAGGTTGTGGTAGGTGATGCCCTTGGACGGCTTGCTAAAGTCGGCGATGCTGATGCGCGCAACCTCGTCTTTGGTGTAGTGCCAGCTGGCGGCGATGAGGCGGCGGCCGTTGACGGTGCCGCTCGGGTCCGCGTCGCCGGAGCCGGTGATGCCCTGCGGCACCCAGTCGGCGCTGGTGTCGTCGGCCGCGTTCCAGCAGAAGCCGGTCGGGCGGAGCTCCGCCTTGAGGTTGGTGGGGTGGCAGAGCGGGTAGCGGCCGTTGCTCTGCGGAGAGGACGCGGTGACGACGTCGTTGAGGCTCACTTTTTTGATCCGCGGGTCGGCCTCGACCTTGTTGATCATGGCCTGGTAGTCGACGCCGGCAGGGCTCTTGGACAGCGAGAAGGAAGAGTGGGCGATGTGCTTGAACGCCGCAGCCCGCGTGTCGAGGGCAACGGCCGAAGCGGTGGCCGCCATGACGGCGAGCGAGATTGCGCTCAAGAGGCGACGGGGCCCGGCGCACTCACTCATCATGTCGGACATGGTGTTCAGATGTCGGACTTTGGTGAACGCCAGCTCAATTCTCTGCTCGGATCACGCGAAGCTGTGTCTCTCCGCTGAGATCTGGCACGTTCGAGGGCGTTGGGTCTCGAGCATCACGCCAGTACGTCTGGCGGTCGACGGCTTTAAAGAGGTCATGACGGTGATTCAACATCGCAATGCGAGCCATACGCAGCGCGATGGTTCCCTGAAGTGGTAAAAAAAGTCCAACTACACGTAGGGCGCGATCGTCGCTCGGAGGTTTGCTTACGGCGCTAGCGCGGCTATATTTGTCCTGCGCTGCGGAAAGCCGGGGTTGGTGCGCACGGTGGGAACAGCTGAGGCTCTCTTGGCAGGGGCACGATGGGCTGATGGAGTCTTCATCTCCAGGGAGACGGCACGGATGCAGGGCACTCGTCGTCAGCGTTTCGTCATGATGGTTCGTTGATGCCGGCAGCCGTGTCGGCGTGACACACGGTGAAGGGATGCTCTTTCCTTTGGAAAGCGGTCAGTGTGATGCGAATACAAGGTCGGGGAACCACGGAGACGCGCTTTCCCAGTTGGCGTGTTGCTCGGATGCCGTCGCTGGCGCACCTTCCTCGGAACATGGACGGCGACCAATGGGCACATCTTCGCCTCGATATGCTGTTGGCTCATCTCGGAGTGCAGCGGTGCCGGTATTCCAATGGCTTCATTTTGTCGTCGACCGGGCCGATGATGGTGTCGATGCCTTCCGAAACTTGGGCGTCAAAAACGTCACCGTACCTTCTCTTTGCGCCATGACATGGCATCATCCGCGTTCGTTTGGCCGGCCCAGACGCGCATCCAATGCTGGCACGGCGATCGCCAACGTCTGCGTACAATCTGGTCAAGATGGGCCAGTCCTGCCAGGCACGTGCCGATGGAAGATTCCCGCGGTCGTGCGCTGAGTCTTCAGCTCAGGTGGTGAACCAGGGCCACTCAACGGCTGCCCCTGATACAGAAAAGCGCTTCGACAATCACCATGCAGCGACCGGCCATGGCGAGCAGTTGATGGATGAGACGAAGGACCTGGCGCAAATGCGCGGTATGGGCGGTCATGCAAACGCAAACGATGACCTGGCAGCACTTGCGCGCACTTGCGCACACCTGGCGGACAGCCGCGCGCACCGAACAGCTGCCACAGGAACAACGCCAATCTCGCCTCCAGCTGAACTCTCCGTTTGCTTCTCGCACAACATCATCACTCGCCCACACCACGCGTCAACCACACACGCTACACTCACACACTCTCCACGTCACACAAGTCTGTGTCCCGTCATTTCATCGCCATGCCACGACGACGAAAGAATCGGCACCGTGGCAATCACGGCGGTAGCCGCGGCGACAATGGCGGAAATCGCAGTGGCAGCGGTTGGAACCGCAACACCAGCCGTACAATGTTTGCCGCGTCCAGCGACCCGGGAGACTTGTTTCGCGCCCAAATCGAGGAGGATGCCGGCTCCAGCGAGAGCCCTATCACCTATGAATCTCTACACCGCGAGATTGACTGGCTTGGGCTCAAAGTGCGGGCTTTCAACGATGGTGTGGCCGCGGGTCTTGTACAAGACGCCGCCGCCGCCACCGTGCAAAGCGGCCCCTCGCGCCAGCAACGACGCACTCTCCTGCGCCCACGACTTCACGCTCAGACGACGGCAGCGAGACCAATAACATCGACAACAAGACCAAGCCTGATGCCACTGGTGTCCCGGAGGAATCTCCAAACCTACAAGAGATGCCCTTTGCAGGGGGGCATTAAGAATGGTGTCGAAGCCATGGTCTCCAACACACAATTGCATCATGTCGGCCCCATGATCGAGAGGGTTATGCAACGTGCTGCCGTCAGCTCAGCTATGGTCACTGTCATGCCCAGCCTCCCTAAGAGAAGTTTCTTCAATTTCACAGGGCAAGGAGAGGCGTTGGGCTACGTGAAGGGGTCCCGCAAGAGACGATGAACGCATCGCCCGGAGCCGACGGCCGCGTGGTCTAAGCGCCTCGAGACTTCACATCAGCTTTGGACAAGTCCGGCTGCGCGGACCATATTGGGGGACAAATCACTAGGTGTTGGGTTGCTGGGGAGGGCACTGCATATCGATTTTGCTCGGAGCGTCGGCCATCCTGTTTGGTTTTTCAATCCTTTGCTGTCGTGAGGCGTTGCCGTCACTGTAATACACAAATTCACACCAGATGCCATTAGCCAACTCGGCTTCATGTGAGGCGTGGACGAACGAATGCCGCACCAAGACTCCGTCAGCTCTCGGCCTCGTTTGCAGCAAGGGCGAAGCGACGCCCTACGTTAACCGAGGCCAGCGGGCTCAATTAGTTGACATGGCCAGAGAACTATTGAAACGAAGCGAGGCCATCTCGTCCACAGCCATGCGCAGTCCCTGGCGGCTGTTGCGACGCGAGGGCGCTGAAACGGATTTTCCCGGGCAGTCTCGAGTTGACCTGACACGCCCGTAGTCTCAGCTCGCGAGCGTCAGGCCCGCCAGGTAAACATTAGGCAAAATGGAAGCGGATCCCGGGGCAGTGGGATTGATTGCTGCGTGCAGGAAGCAGATCTGGATTGTCGCTCTGCCACGTTGCGGATTCCATCCGGCAGCAGCGAGATCTGATCTGAGCCATGGTGTAGCACGGCCGTCGGCAGACATCGGACGGTGTTGATCCCCAAGCGCACGCAATGGTCAGTTGGAGCCATTGCCTTGGCCAATGCAATGCCAATTGCAGTCCAGCAGGCGCCTGGGCCTGCCGAATTCACCACCCTCCGTTTCTGGCCATCTGCTCCGTGGCCGTCTCGCCATGCCTCCACTTGCCGCCGAACTCCCAGGGGCACACTAGCCGCTCGCGAGGCTGCTCGACTATGCGTTTGATCTAAGCTCGCCGGGACACATCAGATGTTTCGGCACATCCCGTCGACTTTAGCCTATACAGCCTCGTCTCGTCTCGCAGGTATCACGACCCTGGCCTCACTTTACGGAGGCCGCGACGATGTCGATGGCGGCATGGGCGATGGTGCAGCGTGCAAGTATATAAGCGAAGCCACCGCGGCATGAATGGCGTCTTCATCTCCAAGTCGAGTTGATTCCTTGAGCCTGCCTTGCTTCGCCCTCTTTCGTTCTCTGGTCTGTGACCGTGCCCATTTGACATTGGCATTTCTGCATTCATTTACACACTTGTCTTTATGCACCACTCCAGTCCTTTCAGTCACGTATCGTCGACCACCATCGCAATGAGTCAAAAGACGACCATCCTCTTTAGCCTGCTGGCGGTTGCCACGGCGCGCTTCGGTCAGGAGCAGGTCCCCGTGGCCGCGGTGCAGGCCCTTTCGAACCGCGGCCAGCCCGGCGCCTCGGGCACGCTGTCGGGCGCGGTGCCTGGTGTCCTCCTCGCGGCCGCGGACCCCTGCGCCAAGCTGACGCTGGCCGACGACATTGTCAAGCAGCTGGGCAACACGGACGACGTGGTCGCCGCGGCCAAGGGCGTCGTCGCGGCGGAGCAAAATTTCAACCCCTTTGTCGTCGACAAGCCCAGCATCTGCGGTGACGCCTCGCTGCCCGCGACGGCGGCCCTCCGGGGCATCGTGCCGCTCGTCGACCCGGCCGTGGGCGGCTCCGACGTGGAGAATGCCAACTCGGCCAAGTCGGTGGACCAGCCGTTTAACGCGGAGGGCCTATCGGTTGCCCAGGTCATGGACGCGCAGGGCTTTTCCAACTTTACGGTCAAGGGCGAGGCGGGCAACCAGGCCCAGAACGGGACAGGGAATGGAGATGGTGGAAACGCAGGCAACGGGAACACGGGCAACACGGGCAACGGCAATGCTGGCAACGGCAACGCCAACAACGGCAACGCTGGCAACGGCAACGCCAACAACGGGAACAATGCCGGAAGCTGTGGCGCCGGTGGAGGCAACAAGTCGAACAACGCCGGCAAGAAGAGCAAGGGCAAGAACCACAAGGGCCACGGCAACGGTAACAACAACAACGGCAATGGCAACAACGGAAACGGAAACGCCAACAACGGCACCGTGAACAACGGCAATGCTAACAACGGCAACGGCAACGGGAACGGTAACAATGGAAACAACAACGCCAACAACGGCAACGCCGGAGGCAACAACGGCGCCGACTTTGGCAAATGCACGCCCACCATCGACTTCCAGCTGGGCCGCGCCGGGCGCAAGGCCGACGAGGGCACCTTTCTGCCGACCGACGCCCTCGTCGCGCAGGGCCAGCAGGACGCGCTCAACCCCAACATCATCACCAACCGTGTGTGCGACCAGCTGACCAACGTGTGCGAGGCAAACGACGCGGCCAAGGCGCTGTGCCGCGACGCGCAGGCCAAGATCCAAGCGTCGGGCGACCGCAGCGCCGCCGCCGCAACGACGTTCAACAGCTTGCTGGGCTTCTAGATGTGTTGGCACGCTGGTCTGTCGGGATGGCTTGACGTGGGTGTGCAGCGCATCGTGATGCGATCTGTAGGCTAGGCATGTGGATGACACCGCCACGGAGCACAATGTATTTCTGTACAAACACCTATCCAAATATCCGCCCTGATCTATCCGAGTGTGATACGAGTGCCAGTAACAACGCAGAGCGAAGCTACCCGTGCTGGCTCGGTGTCGTCGCGGGCCGTGGTGCAGGGTAGCGGACACGCACTTGTACAATCCCATGCCCGACACTGCGATGCTGCGAGATAGGATGCAGCAGGGATCCTTCCCCACCGCGATGCAACACCGTGGGATCGGCGTGCCCACGGGGTCTTTTGACTTGACAAGATGACCGGACAGTCTCGCTTAGACGAAACCACCCTCCCTGCGGGCCGAAGCTCGTCCCCTGCAGCGCGCTGCTCGACGACGCCGCCGCGTGTGCTCGTCTCGATGCCGTGACTGGTTTGCTCTGCAAGTGCCGCGCCCGCCGACGCTGCAGCCTCCGTCCGCGTTCTCGGCGCCAAAGCTAAAATCCCCCAGATCCAATGAGGCGCGCAGGCGGCGCGGGCGCCTCGGTCGCCAATCTGGCACAGACGACGATCACGTCGCACGAGAGCACCCTCGCTGCACGCGCCGACCGGCCTTCCTAAACGGGCGCCCGGATAGCCAGAGGCCCTCGCATTGGGGCATTCGGACGACGAGCCAAACGTGGACGTTCGTTTGTTCGACGGAGGATCGGCAGTTCCTGACAGGGGCGGATCGGCAGCGGAGCTGAGCGCGGGTGTCTTACAGTCTGACCCGGCCGAGAGACGAGACGCTATATTTATACCAGACGCTGCCTCGCCGACGACGTGTCTGCTGTTCCTGCAGCGTAGGCGGTTCTCGTGTTTGCTTGCCCAGTATGAAGTTTTCTGCGTCTGTCGTGCTCTCGGCCGCGGCCGTGGTCCTCGCGGCCCCCTTTCCCCAGCCGGCGCCGGTAAGCCACACCCGCCTCCCTTGGCATGCATCCTGCACATCAACACTTCACCACTGACTGACGACGCAGCCCGGCATCCCCAGCGCGTCCACCGCGCGGACCCTGCTCAACGGGCTCAAGGTCGCCACGCCCGGCAGCGGCGACGGCTACAGCCGCGAAAAGTTTCCCCACTGGGAGACGGTCAACGGCACCTGCAACACGCGGTACGGTGCCTGACATGCTGCCCAGAGGTGGTTGCTGACGGGAACAGCGAGTTTGTGCTCAAGCGCGACGGCACCGACGTCAAGGTCAACGACGCGTGCGCGGCCACGTCGGGCACCTGGAAGAGCCCGTACGACGACGGCACCTGGACGCAGGCGAGCGACGTCGACATTGACCACATGGTGCCGCTCAAGAATGCGTGGATCGTGAGTGTCTCCATCATCCCTCTCCCCATGGCATGCAGACTGACCCCCGCAGTCGGGCGCCTCGGCGTGGACCACGGAGCAGCGCAAGGGCTTCGCCAACGACATCACGCGGCCGCAGCTCTGGGCCGTCACGGACAACGTCAACCAGGCCAAGAGCGACCAGAGCCCCGACGAGTGGAAGCCGCCCCTGACGAGCTTCTACTGCACCTACGCCAAGAGCTGGGTCCAGGTCAAGAGCTACTACAAGCTGACCATTACCGACGCCGAGAAGGGCGCGCTGTCGGGCATGCTGGACAAGTGCTGAGCGGCTTCACTTCTTGTACATGTTGCGGCCGTGTGTGCTGGCTGAGCTGGCCTCGGAGCTTGAACTCTTCGAAATTGACGTGATGAACTGGACCCCTGATCCCGTGTGCAATTGTGCCGTGATGCTCACCGCTTGCCCCTATGAGCCCTTGCCACGTCGGCGCCGTCTGATGTCGCTTGACCAGCTGGCGTCGGCAGCCAGCTGGCGGCGGTCGTCGTGAACCATTGCACCATCCAGCCGTGCGACTGTTCATCCCGGCGCAGCATAAATTCGTCCTCACACAGCACCGCATCTCAACCGCACTTCATCAGAGTCACCACATCATCCATCAGGCCTGAGCCAAGCCAAGATCTCAGAGCCAACGACGCCATGGTTTCCATGCTGTTCGTCGTCTTGTTCGCGGCGCTGGCCATGGCCGGCCTCAAGGACCTCGCCTGCTGCGACCCCCTCCGCAAGGACACGCGTAAGGCTTCTCCCCGGGCACGCGGCAGACGAAACGTGAGTGAATCTGACTCGCGCAGACTGTCCCCCGGACGCGGCCTTTGCGGGCAACGCCTCCTTTGACTTTATCAACACGGGCCCCGGCGACGAGTTTGACGCGTTCTGGGCCGCCGACAACACCACGCTGCACCACCACGGCCTCGACTTTGACACCAACGGCAACGGCCTGGCCCTGGCGGTGCGCAAGGCCGGCGACGCGCCCACGCTCGTCAGCCACAGGTACCTCCTTTTCGGCAAGGTCAGCGTCACGGCCAAGGCGGCGCGGGGGGCGGGCCTCGTCACCACGCTGTCCCTCAAGTCGGACTCGGGCGACGAAATCGACTGGGTACAAGGGCGATGCTTTCTCTCGCTGAAGGGCGGCGCAACTGACACGCACAGGAACTGCTCGGCGCGTACGACAACCAGGCGGCGACCAACTACTTTTACGACGGCAAGGCCCTCTTTGACACGTACAACGACACGTACGCGCTCGACACGTCCTCGTTTGACGACTTTCACACGTACACGGTCGAGTGGACGGACGAGGTGCTCGTCTTTGCCATCGACGGCACGCCGCGGCGCACGTGGCGCGCGGGCGAGGGAATGGCGCGCGAGGTCTGGCCGCAGACGCCCATGCAGGTCAAGCTGGGCGTGTGGGCGGTGGACGCGGACAGCGACGGCGGCGAGGTGTCGTGGGCGGGCGGCGTGCCGGACTGGACCGGGGAGGGCCCGTTTACGGCCGTGTTTCAGTCTGTGACTGTCGAGGACTACGCTGGCTGGTGCAACGAGTTTGGCGACGACGCTGACGACGTCGAGTACCGGTACGACGAGCGGATGAGGGGCTGGACGGACGTGAGCATCGTGGGCTGCGCGAGGAGGGCCGCCGCGCCGCTCGCGACGCCGCCGGCGGGGGGCGCAGCCGAGCCCACGGGGTCGGGGGACCAGGATGATGGGGCTGTCGTGCGCAAGGTGTCGTCGGGTCTGGCGGCGTTGGTCGGGATGGGCTGGTTGGCGGTCTTGTAGTCTTTTTTTGGAGTCGGGACTTGACACTCGAGGGTCACGGCAGCAAGCCGTGCGGTAATGGTAATGCAACAAGGAAGTGATCTGCGTGTGTAGCCTGTCGACGTGAAAACCTGCAGAGACCGGGAACGTCGACAGGGCATGCCGTGCCACCGGATCGTGTTGTGTCGTTGGTCCTGTGCCGTGAAGCCGCGGGAGCATCATGGCATCCAACGTCGACGACACCATGGCATGCCACCCTTCCAGAAGCTGGGACGCGCGTTCAGCCATCACCTTTCAAGTTGATCAAATGGTGCAGTAGTGATGAGGCCTCCAGCTCTGCGTGATACAACCCGGTTGTAGAGCACAGATCCTCGCCGGCCACCGAAGCAGTGGTGGCTCAGTTGCGACTAACGACGCGCCCATCCAATCCCAGCTTGCGCAGTTCCCGATCCGGTAATACGCACTTGAAAGTTGGAATCAGCCATTCAGCCCTCCCCGCGCCGACAGCCAGACAGGCTGCCGATATCCGCGAGGACGCCTTGCCGGCGGGCCAGGCGCCCAGAAGTGCGCCGGCGCACATGGCTACACAATCGTGGCGTTCATGACCAAGGCCTGACGCTGTCCAAATGTCTACACCCAGTCCTGAAGCAGCTGCCGCATCGGGGCCAGGCTCGGTGTGGATTCGACGATGGCGCTGCCTCATCCAGGATCGTCGAGTGCCGCTGCGCGGGGTAACAGGGTCGTTGGCCCGACCAACACCACACAACACGAGCAGAGGCAGCATCGCGACTCGCAAACCCCCGTCCAGATTCCCAACGAGGGTGACGTGGACGCGAGGCGCGGGTAGTCGGGTGCCAGGATTTTGACATCTCTGTGGCTGGCGGGCGTGCAGGTGCCCAGTCGATGGGCGCTGTTGGGTTGCGCAAGTGCCCGCGAGCGAACGAACAGACGAACGCACTCTAGGTCAGGGTTCGGCACATTTCTTCTGTCTGGCGGTATTTGCGCTGTGTCGGAAAAGAGGTATAAGAGCGCCAAGACCTGAGGGCGATCCATCGATCCATCGGTCCATCACACAGGACAAGTTCCACGAACCCTCGCCCAGCCTCTGCACACCCATCACCACATTGTCAAACCCATCACCACCACCACCATGCTCCTCACCACCATCCTCACCCTCGCCCTCGGCCTCTCCCCCACCCTCGCACAATCCACCACCTCCACCGCCGCCTCCATCCTCCCGTCCTCCGTCCCCGCCTCCTGCCAGCGCTGCCTCTCCGCCGCCCTCGCCGCCGTCTGCCCCAACGACGTCCCCTCGCCGCGCTACAACGACTGCCTGTGCGCCGTGCGCGGGCCCGTCTGGCGCGCCGTCGCCGCCTGCCTCGCCGACGTCGCGTGCCGCGGCCATGAGCCCGCCATCGTGCGCACCTACGCCGACCACTGCGTGCCGTTCCGCCGGCCGTGGTGCGTCGTCGGCCCCGTCGATGGCGGCGACGGGGACATCGTCGTGAGCCTGGTGCCGGGAATTGTGTGCACCGGGTCGCTGAGGTGAGTCTGGAAATGCAGTGATGTTGCAAGGTGCTGATGAATTGCCAGCACCCTGACCAGCACGACGGGGACAAAGTCGGCGACCAAGACGGACACGACCGCCACGGAGACGAGCAGTGCGTCCGAGACCAGCAAGGCCGGCACCGCGTCGAGCACGGCCTCGGCAACCACAGCCACGGCTTCCGGCGCCTCTGCCAGCCCTTCGACCAGTGGAGGCACCAAGACGGCGTCCACTTCTGCCCCCGTGTCCACTGCCGGAGCCGCGCTCACACCGCGCATTGGCGAGACGCATCTCTTTGCGGCCGTCCTTGCCGCCGTGGCGGGCGTTCTGTAGGGGCTTGGAGAGGAGCTTGGAGAGGGCTGGGGAGATACCGATCCGGGCATCGCAGGATATCAAGAGCATTCGTAGCCCGCTGAGACTATCCGTACATGTCTTTCGTTATACATCCAACTGCGCCGCCGCTAGTATACATGCAACACCGGCTGGCCGTGCTGGGCAGGCCATAGGGTATCTATCAACAACAAACAAAGAAATGCCGACGCGCTCGCTCATGCCCCGCGCTCACGGCCGCAGCGTCTCGTCGCCCTCGTCGCCGCTGACGTCCATGTCCCCCTCGCTGAGCTCCCCCCGCGCCGCCTTGCGCGCCAGGTCCCGCTCCGTGTAAATCTCCCTCCTCCGCGTCTCCGCCTGCTGGAGGCAGTCGACGTACGTGCGGAACTTGACAATCTCCCGCAGCAGGTACGCGCTCTTGCGCTCCCAGTTGGCCATGGCCTTGCCGGCGTTGTGGCCCCGCGGCGTGAACGCGAGCAGCATCGGGCTCCGCAGCTTGTTGTGCTCCTGCAGGTCCTTTTCGATGCTCTTGACGTACGCGCTCAGCGTCTCGAGCTGCTCCGCCTCGGCCGCCGTGCTAGGGCGGATGCTCTGCGTCGGCGGCGCCCACTCGGCGATGTGGATCCGGTCCCCCGGCAGCTTGCCCCGGCCGCTGTTGTTGGTGAACGGGCCCCCGACCTGGTCGAAGCTCGACCCGCGGAAGCTGCCGCTGGCGGCGCTCGACTTTCTGGCGTGGCGCGCGGCGCTGCTCCCGGGCCGCGAGTCCCGGCCGCCGCTGGCGATGGACGCCGACGACTCGTTGATGGCGCTGACCAGCGCGTTGTTGACAATGGCCTCGCTCCAGCCGTACTCAATGTTGCTGATGCCGCCCACCAAGGGGTGCGTGCTGAGGCGCGCGCTCCAGTAGTTGGCCGTCGTGACAAACTCGCGGATAATCTCGGGCGTGCCGACCTGAAACAGGTGCACCGCGCCCGTCGGCAGGCTCAGCGCCCACACGTGTGGCCGCGTCCGCGAGTACCCTGGCGACGGGAGGGCCGACGCCAGCGTCAGGCGCAGGTTAAAGGTGCCCAGACTCAGAGCGTTGTCCTGCCAGTTGCCGCCGCCGACGGGCCCGTTGGGCTTGGTCCGGCCCTTGACGCGCTGCGACTTGGTGGCAAAGAGCGAAAACAGGCTCATCTGCCCCTTTTGGATGACGGCAAACACCTCGACCCAGTTGCGCTCCTTGGCGCGCTTGCCCACGCCGTCCAGGTGGTGCTTGTGCATGACCATGCCCTCCTTGACCCACGGCGGGCCGGCGAGCTCGAGCGACTCGTCCTCGAGGAGCTGCGTCGACAGGTCGGCGCTGAGGATCGAGGGCGCTCCGTCGTCGCCGTGGGCCGCGTCCTCGTCGCGGAAGATGGCCTGGCTCAGCGCGTTGGCGAAGCCGATGGACTGCTGGTAGTCGCCGCGCGGCATCGTGCCAAACGAGTCCTGCGACATGGAGCCCTGCGTCCGGCCGAGCGAGTAGCGGCTCCACGTCGCCGACGACATGGCCGGGCTCCACACCGAGTTGCCGTCGTCGAAGCTCGTGCGGCTCGACGAGAAGCCGTTGCGTCCGAGGCCGGGTCGCGAGCGGCTCTTGGACGTCCACCGCGAGGCGCTCGTGCGGCCCCCGTCGGCCACGCGGCCGCGCGACGACAGCTGCGTCTCGGAGGGCGCCTTGCTAAGCACGCTGGGGCTCCGCTTCAGCATGCCCATGACGGACAGGCCGCTCTGCGAGGGGGCGACGCCGAGTGACTTGTCGGGCTCTGCGCCAAACAGCGGCAGCTTCTCGTCGCGGATGGACGCGTAGATGGCCTTGAGCACGAATTCCACCTGCTCCTCCCACGCTCGCCGGTGGCCGTGGAACGGGGCCCTCACCAGCGGGCCGGGGTCGTCGCCGTTGCGCGACTCGGAGCGGGGTGTCGGGCGCAGGGAGCGTCTGCGGCTCGAGTAATCCGGGTCGGGCGAGTCGCGGCCGTGCTCGCTCAGCAGCCCATTCTTCTCCGGCAGGATGCTGGGGCGCATAAACGCATCCGGCGCCGACTCGTGGACCGCCTGCGTAATCGTCGTCATGGTGTTTTTGATAAACTGGCTGCGCGTCATCTTTTGCTCGATGTCGGCCAGATGCAGGTCCGTGTTGAGCAGCATGATGGAGTAGCAAATCATGTGAATCACGTCTGTCTACACGTTAGCTGGGTCAAGAAGCTGGGACAAGAGTCGGACCTGTCGCCTTGAAGCCGTGGCGGGGGTTGCAGTCGCACCAGCGCTTGGAAAAGGCCACGAGGATGCGGTCGACCTGCTGCGTCTCGGCGCGCAGCACCAGGCGCCCGCAGACGCTCCGCAGCGCCGCCAGGATGCTGTGGTCCTGAAAGTCGTAGAGCTCCATGTACGCCTGCAGCGTCCGCTGCCGCACCGGGCCCTCTTCGCCCATCCAGGCGGCCGCCTTGTCTTTTTGGATAAAGTCCTCGCCGCCGTCGTAGATTTGCTTCGCCTTTTGCCGGTCGTCTGCCGTCGGGTCGCCCACGACAAACTCGGGCTCGTCGAGCGACTTGCACGACTTCATGGATTTCAACGTGCCGAGGCCCTTGGATTCGGGCGCGCCCTCGACGAGGACGCTCGGCGGCGCGCTCGGGGCCGTCTTGTAGTCCGTTTCCGTCGAGCCCGACGCAAAGCTCGCGATCCTGGCACCCTCCATTGGCAATCCGAGGTTCGGGCGGCTGGGCTCGCGGTCGGCGTCCGGGGCAGGCGACTTCTTGGCTCGAACGGTCGCGTCCGGGTCTGCGTCGGGCGAGCGAGCCGCGGAGGAGGGGGTGCTGGCGGGGTCCTGGGCACCGGCTCCTCGCGTCTTCTTGCGGCGTTGGTTGGGCGAGCGCGTCTCGTGGTCGCTGGCCCCATCGAGATCGAGGAAGGAGTTGTTTCTCGTTTCAAACGTCTTCGGGAGGCGCTGCGGGGCGGACTGTGCGTCAGCCTCGCCGGCCCGCGGCCCCTGCGCCCCAGAGTCGACCGTCCTTATGCGCGCGTTCGGGCCGGGCTCGTAGTCTGGCGAGAACTCTCGCTTAAACTCTTGTCTGCCACGTGGCCGGTCCTGCGACCCGTCTGCGGCGGCGCTCGTCGCGTCCGTCAGGGGCGACGACGTCGGCACGCCGGCGAGGCCCAGTCCCGTCGCGCCAGAGGTCTCGAGGTACGGATTCATGACGTTGCGGAGGCTGCTCGTCGGGCTGTCGTGGGCGACGGCGGCGCCCTCCCTGACGCGCAGGTTGAGCTGGTCCAGGGGCGGCATCGGCGGAGCCACGTCCGCGGGCGACGCCTCGTCCACGATGGACTTTTTCCGGCGGCGAAAGAACGACGACGTCTTCTTTTGCAGGGGCGGGTGGTGCGAGTGCGAGGACGACGTGTCCCTGGATGGAGGGGCGGTGGCCGCCTTGGCTTGCTGCTGCTGCCGGGCCTTGTCCTGCGACCGCTGATCCGCACCGGCGGCGGTGCCGTTGCTGCTGCCGCTGTTCTTGGACGAGCCGCCGCCAAAGACGCGCCGGAAAAAGCCCTGCTTCTCCTTGGCCTGCGCGGGGGCCGTTGCCGGAGGGTCGGCGTCCTTGGACTTGCCGTAGCCGACACTCGGGGCGGGCGCCGAGTCGTGCTCGCTGGCCGCGGCAGGAGGCGCCGCCGCGGCCGCCGTCCGCTTGCTGCGTGCCGAGACACTCTTGAGCGAGCGGCTCGTGCTCCGCCGGCGCTCGACCTTGCGGCCGTCGACCGACTCGGGCGGCGGAGGGCGGATCGGCAGGTTGGAGGGCTCGCGGCGCGGCCCGCTGGGGACGGTCGGGTTCGGGGCGGCGCTGTACCAGTCGTCGTCCATCGGGACAAACGTGTCGGAAAAGTCGACGCGAAAGGGGGACGAGGCGGGCACCTGGTGAAGGTGGCCGGCACGGGAGTGGGGCGGGGACACGTCGAAGCTGGCGGAGCGCCTCGTACGACGCTGCTGCTGCTGGAGGTTGTGGTGCCGCTGGCTGGCGACGTTGGGCGGGTATCCGGCGTCGAAGCTGGCGCTGCTGCTGCTCTTGCTGCTGTGCCGGCCCCTCGCGTGGGCGCTGCGCGGCGGCGTCGTGCCGGGCTGGGTGCGGTACGAGGGCTCGCGCAGGCTGTTGAGGCGGGTGAACTGGCCCTGGAAGTTGACGGAGCCGCTGTTGCTGCGGTGGCCGCGCGAGTTTTGGCTCGAGTAGCGGCTCGCGTCGTCGGGATGGTCCGCGTCCGAGCTGTACGAGTGCTCGTGGCCCCGACCGTTGGCGTTGACGCCGGGGCCGTACGATCGGCCGCCGTTGTTGGCCCACCGCCTCGCCGAGGGGGGATACTCGTCGCGCTCGTCGGCGTCGTAGGGCGTCGATCCCGCCAGGTCGGTGCCGGGGCTGAATGGCCCGTGATCCTGCTTCTGGGCGAGCGAGAACTGGTCGAGGGACAGGAGCATGTTGGCGACGAGCGAGTCGCGCGTCACATCGCGGGGCGACAGCGAGAGGTCGTGGGAGTCGCGGTTCCTTGGCCCAGCAGCAGCAGCACCAGCAGCAGCGACGGCGGCGGCGACGGCGGCGGGCGAGGGCTGCGGCGGCGGATGGATCTCGCCGGAGCGGTCCATTTCGTCGGGACTATGCCGTGCAATAAAAAGGAAGCATTGGCGCCGCGGCGCGGACGGGTCGCTGCAGACGGCAGAGACAGCGGCAAAGCGCCCAGGCGATGGTTGTAGGCGCTCGTGCGGACACGGGGTGCTGGATCAATCTCGGGCACTGGGCGTGGCGGCGGTGCGGCTCCGCTTCGACGCCTTTGCGGTGCGTTGGGAGGGGCGCCCCAGGATTGTGACGGCGAGCGTGATGGAGGATGAATGGACGATCGTGTTGGTCGTGGCGTGGCGTGCGGTGTCGAGGCGGTTTCCTGCGGGCGTGAACTGCAAGGGGCGCGCTCACGTCGAGGCGACTGCCTGCGAGCGTCTGCGGGAGCGTCTGCGGGGGCCGCTGCTGTTCCGGACGGTCGTCGGGCCTCAGCCGGTGCCGATGCCAATGTCAATTGCGGTGAGCCAGGCGAGGCGCGTCGTCGTTGCTTCTGCGGCGCCGTGCTCGCGGGCGGACGAGTCGTGCCAGTGCCTTGCCTTGCCCCTGTGGGGATGATGGGTTTTGGTGTCTTGGTTCTCCTGAGCGCCCCGGGGCGATTGGATTTTCCAGCGGCCAGGCTACGCCGCATGCAGCGCTAGCGCCGCCGCCTTCGCGCCAGGGGTTCACATGGCATCCATGGATCAGGGACGTCGCTCGATGCAGATGCAAATTGCGATGCGTCTGAGGGGCCTCGCATGTCTGATTGTGATGACACTTGATGGCCGACGTGTACAGTACATGATGCAAATACTATTGATGCCGTGGACGCACCGCAGCGGCAGCGTAGACGGGCACGAGCTGCGCACAGCCTGGCGGAGGAGCGCCGTCGAGCAAACACCCGGCAGCACGGCCGTCATGAAACGCTCGCTATGCAGGCGTGCATCGGGCGTGCATCAGGCCTGCATGCAGGTGCCCTCGACTGTCCGCCAAGCTGACGGCCTCGGATGTGCGCGGTGACACGGCCTCGGTGCAAACCGCTCAGGAGGCGTCGTCTTGGCAGATGGCAGTCGTGTCCTCGCCGTGCCTTTTGTCGACGTCTGCAGGATGAGCTATTGCACCATGCACCGTGGCCCAAGTGAATACCCGTGGCGCCACGCATGCAAGGCACAGCATTCGCACATTTCCCGCCAGGCCAATGGCACCAGCAGACCCAGCGTCCGTCGCCTGCACGCCGCGATGCGGGCGGTGAGTCTGACGTCTCACACGCCCTGAATGGCCAGCCCCTATTGCAAGCGCCACCGCCGACAGGGGTCCAGCAACCTGGCGCGCCCTGACGGGATGTTTCGCGAGCAGTGACCCGCCAGAGGGATGCTCTGGAATTCATACAGCGTGCGTCCAGCCAGGACGTCCAGTTCGACCGAGGATGACACATGGACAACGGACAAACACACTCTTTCTACGAAGTACGGAGTACATACTTGGCCTGAGGTCGCATCACATCGGCCGGTTCGTCGTGTCGTCGCCGGACCCGCCCCGCGGCCACCCGCAGCAGTGGAAACGTTAGCCTCCGGTGGGCGCCCCCTGATTTCGCCACGCATCCCGCCGTCGCTCGTCTCATCACGGCACATCCGGGGGCGCGTTGGCAGCCATGGGCGGCCATCACGACGGCCTCTTCGGGGACACGTTGCGAGTCGTCAGCCGCAGCGACGCCGTGTTGGGTGTCTGGGCGTCGCCCGGCATATGCCGTGGTGGGTCGCTCGTCGCGAACCTGCGCACTGAGCAGCCAACGGCCACGCCGCGCTCCGTGTTCGCACGCTGCACCGGGCCACGCTCTGACGGTCGCACGGCTTCACTCGTCGCAAACCATCTGATGCCTGGTGCTGCCTGGCCTGCCGTCCTCCGGCGACGCAGTCTCCACCCGGCCGACCCCGAGGCGGACCGGAGCTCAGTGGGGCCGGTCTGCACAAACTCAAACACGCACGCATCGGTCTCACCACGGGCTCGGAGGACCCAAGGTCTCCCTTGCATGCTCATTCCCCGTCGTAATCCACACTCATTTCATTGTCCCAAGGTTGGGCTCCCGAGTCTAATCCAACGCCGCCAACGGCCGCCCGCCAACCCAACACTCACACGCAGTGCGGCTGCGCCATCTCCGGCGTCGCCTCGTACGAGATCCTGCCCGCCGGCAAAAAGAAGAGCGCCACCAGCCGCCCGCCCCTGGCCTCCGGGTAGTGGTGCGTCCCCGGCCCCGGTGACGTCCACCCGGCGCCCTGCCAGCCCTGCATGCCCCTGAGCTCGGCCCCCTCGTCCAGCAGCACGACGCAGTTGATTTCGCCGTACGGGTGCTGGTGGTACTGCCCGCGCAGCACGCCTTCGTCTCCCTTGGGCGCGGCCGTGCCGTCCATGTACACCGTCGTGATGCTCAGAAAGTGCGTCCGCTCCGTCGGCGGCGAGATCCGGCCCCGCCGGTAGTGCGGCCCCGTTATCTCCGTCTCGGCGACCCACCCCTCGGCGAGGCCCTGCTTGATGTACGCGCAAAAGTCGTCGTAGTAGGCGTTGCCCGGCCCGTAGTCGCGGTTGAGTCGCGTCTCGAGGTCCTTGCCGGGTGTCCTGGCCCGTCAGCCGGGGTTTCGTGCGGTGTGCCGGCACTTACAGATTCTTGACCTCGTCAAAGAAGTCGGCGCATCGCGACACAAACTTTTCGGCCGTCGGCCACTTGGCGAGGTCCAGCACGGCTGCTCTGTCCGGGGGGCTCATTTTACACTGCGTTGCTTGCGGGTGCTCGTCTCCAGACATCTGTAGACATTTTATAACCGGGATCAAGTACTGTGCGGGGAACGCGTCTGACCGGCACGTGGCTCGGCAGATCGCATCGGGAGCCGTGGCTCGCTCGATGCTACCAGAATCGTCATGGTTCGAACTTCACCACCAGGCTGTCTGTAACTCTACCCGCCATCGCCTGAACGAAGCCATCGCCAGCGACGAGCCTCCAGACCGTGCCGCAGCCCAGGCCCGCCTGCTGACCGACGCTGATCAAGCCATCGAGACATGGACTCTACATGGTCCCCGTGCGCACCACGCCGCCCTCCATCGCCAGCAGGGGCGGAATCTCGGGCGGGCTCTGCCCGTTTCTGTACCGCCACAGCCGACTCAGCTCCTTGACCCTGACCTCGCGCCGCTTGCCCTTGTCGCCCACGCCGTGCACCTCGACGGGCGTGCTGATGTCGCCCGACCCGAACCCCTGCGTGCCCGCGTACGAAATGTCAAACGCCTCGCGCGCGTTGTCCATGGCCGCGCCCTCCTTGCCAATCTCAATCACCTCCTCCATGAACGCGTTGTCCTCGTCGGCGCCCACGAACCGGCCCGTCTCCGCGTCGCGCTTCAGCGGAAACATGCCGTCCAGGTAGTGCTGGTTGAGCTGGTGCCCGCCGCGGCTGTTGGCGCGGCTGAACAGCCGCCCCAGGAAGCGCGGCAGCTGCGGCGACCCGACGCGGTTCGTCGCAAAGTGCAGCACGCCCCAGATGGCCACAAAGTCGGTGCTGTGCGCGTAGTGCTCGACGTGCCCGATGGCGCGGTCCTTGGCCGCCGAAAACGTGCGCGACGACGTGAGCGACGACTCGGTAGATAGCGGCGGCGGCGGTGCCTTTCCGTTGCCCTTTTTGCGCCGCTCCACGGGGCTGCTCGTCGCGCTGTTGAAGCTCGTCTCCCGCATGACGGTCGTCATGGCCGCGCTCGGGTTCGACTGCGACAGGCTCTGCGAGATGACGTGGCGGTGCGGGTTGTTGAAGTGGTTGGCCGCGTTGCCAAACGTGTACACCTCGAGCTTGGCCAGCAGGTCCTGCGGCGTCTCCTGCAGCAGCCAGTCCAGCACAAGGCCGCCCTCGATGCCCCCTTGCGAGTGCAGCACGAAGACGACCTTGGACTTGCTCGGGTCGTACAGGACGTCGCGCATCGTGCGGTAGGCACGGCGCACGTCGCCCGTCGCGTAGGTAAAGTTGCGCTGGATGAGGCACTCGATGACGTCAAAGACGATGCCGGATGTGCGGTTGTGGATGCCCAGCACGGGGCGTCCAAACGTGAGCGCCAGCCGGTTCAGGTTGTTCTTCATCCAATGCTCTCTGCGACGTGTTAGCTGAAGGCACAAAGTGTTTGCGATGAGGCACGCAGCCGCCCGAGACTCACCCAACCGCCACGCCGTTCAAGAACACCCACTGCTCGTGCGCGTGCTCTGGCCGCTCCTCGGCGTACTTTTCGTCGGAGCGGTACGTCGTCTCCGACCCGTTGAGCAGCTTGCACAGCGCCCAGTTGACCGTCATGAACGCCGCCACGGCCCCGGCCACCGTCCAAATCGGAAAGAAGATGCCAATCGGCAGCACCAGTATGAAGGCGAGCTGCAGCACGACGAGCACAAAGTGCACCGAGATGCAAAACAGGTTCGGCAGGTTGGGGTATAGCTCGTCGAGCTCGCCCGAGCCGCACGGGCGGACCGGCAGCAGCACCCACGGCAGCGCCCAGATGTAGACGAAGAAGAAGTAGACGTCCTTGACGAAGAGCCGCCATGGCATGTCGGTGTAGCAGTAGTTGATGACGGCCGTGCCGCCAATCTGCGAGCGGTAGAACTCGGTCGCCTTGTCCATGGTGGGCTGTCGGGCGTTTGCGAGAGCGGCCTGCCCAGCCCTCAGCTCGTGCTGGGAGGCGGCATTCCTCTTATGTCTGATCCAGGACCGCACTTGCGATGGCTGGCGCCTGGCATCACATGCGGTGTGGTGGTCAGCCACCCGGGGCTGAGTGTGCGCATCGCGACCCCAGGTCAGCTGGCGTCCGTGGTTGGAGAAGCGATCATCTGGCCAAGCCCCTTGGCGTCGTCGGCCGCGCTAGCAGTCAAGGGGCGAGGCACGGCGATCAATCGCGCCAACAAGTGGTGCTGAACGAGGCTGGTTCAGCCACCAGTCAGGACCAGCGCCGGCTGTGTAGCATCACAATGCGACGAGCTCTGATGAGCGAAGCCAATGCAACGAAAAACAAACCCCTTACGGGTGCACAGGCGACATTTGGCTGAGTTCCTTTGCTTGATTATACCTTCCTGCCTGCTGCTGGTACATGCCGTTTACCCCCAAAAAGCTTCCCTCCAAGTGAACCCGTCAGCTCTGACAGTTGAGCTCCATCTCGAGTCGTCGGAGCGGCGTCTCATGCAGGCAATGCTCAGTTGCTACGTACCGGAGTTAGCTTTTAATCGTCAAGCAGACAGGGTTAGGGACGACGAACTCATTGGCCATGCCATTCTGGCCGAGCTCGAAAATGGGAATGAAAACCCTGCGAGAAACGACGCTTGATCCCTCCGAACGAACAGGGGTGAGAATTGCGTAAACAAATCGGGCGCCAGTCCTCTGCTTGACACGATCCGAAGCTGCAACAAACTCCCAGTTGTCCTCAGCGACGAGGGCCTCTGCACCCGCGATCTTGGAGAGAATGTCCATATGGGCATGCAACCAAGGTCCGCCAGGAAAGGCAACCTCTTTGTCGATGAGCTCGTCTGCTGGATTCATGTTCTTGTCTGGGACCAGAAGACGACGAGTGTGTGTGAGTAAGTGAGTGTGTTTGTGTTTGTGTTTGTGTTTGGGTGTGTTTGTGTTTGTGTCCGGCGTCTGTGTGTTGAGAAGGTGAAGGAGGCAAAAAGACAAAGCCTGTGCGGAACAGTAGGTATTTAAGCTTGTGGCCGGGACAATGGGCCTCATGGTCCCGGCCAGCTGGTGGACAGCTGTGTGCCTCTCGCTTCGCTGAAGATCCACTTGGGCTGTCATGAGTTTTCGTCTGATGGTTCTCATAGAAAGCTGGCGAAGGGCCTGGATAGATTCTGGCCCGACACTCGGCGGTAAACAGTTGAACCGGACGAAACCTGTATCCCACCATGCCAGTGCAATCGGCTGCCTGTCAGGTGCCCAAGGCAACCCTGCTCCCGGAGGCCCATCCCAGACATGAATGAGTCTGGCTAGAGCGAGGTCTGTCGCATAGATGGGTTTGGCTGATCCGCTGCTCCGAAATCTACGGTCTACAAAGATTGGGGGCTTGGAGGCGACGAACTAGTGCACCGCCATGGATCCGAATGATGACGGGTTGTTTGCCTGAGCTCAGCGTAGGCGTACGAGGGACCAAGATGTCCGTTCGAATCCCATGGTCACCAATCTTTTTATAGGTTGCCTCGATGATATCGAAGCCTTCAAGCTTTACGTCGGAAGGGATCGCCATTCGAAACTCTACTAGACTGCAATCTTATACCTACGGGGATGAATACGATTTACGTATATTACTACGGCTAAATTAACGCCAATATCATCATTCACCTCGTCTACAGTATTACATATACCCATGCATAATAACCCATCCGCAGCCTCCCTCTAACCACAGCGCGGCCACCCGGACCTTCCCTCGATGCCTCTAGTCCGTCACCCACCGAGGCCACCTCTCCGTGGTGGTCATTGACGTCGAGCTACCCGGAGGCCACGGCGCCGGATGCCCCAATGTGACGTGGAAGACAGGACGGGGGTCGGCCCACAGCCGAATGGAACGTCATCTCGAAGATTTGCTAGCCTCGCGCTGACCTCCAAGACGCCAAAGGGCACGTTTTGCACGGAGCCAGCTGCCTCGCGAGACAGTCCGCCCGACTCCGACTGGCACATCGCAGTCCACCACGCTGCGGCCCCTGGACGAGGCAACCTTTCCCATCCTTGACACGCAAGCAGCCACGCCCACTCCCCTCTTGCGAGGGTACGGCTGATTTCCCGCTGTCGTCCCTGCTTGCTAACGGAAAGAGTCATGACCACCCTCGCCGTTGATGAATGTACGTTGCAGGCCGCTTTAGCATCTCAGAAGCAGCTCTTGCCGGCGCCCCAGACGTTCGCAAGAGCACCAAAATGTTACACGGGGGGGTGTCGCCGGGCGCCCGCCTTTACCGCGCTGGCCAGGAACAGCCGCAGGCCTGCAGCCCATAGCATGAGCCACGACGCGTACGCTACGCCAGCAGAGGTTGTGCTAGGTAGCCTTGGTCTCCCGTCCCTTCGTGTTTGCAAAGACGCTATGAAACGAGAAGCTGACTTCTAGAACAGCACGCGTCAGGGGCGCCAGACTCGTGCTCACCCCAGTGCCTACCGCGCCCCGGCAGATTGATCGACCGGTAATGACGATGCAGGCTAGCGAGACGCCAAGGTCGAATCAAGCTTCTATGGTCCACATTGTTCCGTTGCACAAGACTTTCTTCTGTACCGCGAGACAGCTCGGGGTGCAGAGAATCCACCCTCGTAGGGCGGCACGAAGCGGATTGGACGAAGACGAGGGCTTGGTTGCAGCAGGGTACACACGTTCCAGCCCGGCCATCGACGCGGTCCCTCGTACAAGCAGACTGAGCATCACCGGCAAATGCCTCACCGTGGGCGATCTTCTACCGACATCCTGTCGGTACTGGCAGGCAGACAGCGCGTGCCGGTGGCCGATTCTGGCTCCATGGCCCACGGCCAAGCCCAACGTATAAATTCGAGCCCTTCCATCTCCTTGTCCTTCGGCGTTCACTCTCTAGTCTCTCTCTCTCTCCTCCCCCGCGTCCTTGGATTGACTTCCGTCCAAGGCTATTCGCGCTCGCGCTGGCACACGTTACACCACCGGTCGCACAATCTGTCATCCAAGAGCACCGCTACCACAATGAGCTGCAGCATGTGCTCGACGGAAGCCGTCATGGGCTCCAGCAACTGGTAAGAGCTCTCGATCCCGCCGCTCTTGTCATTAATGACCTTGGGAGCAGCTCTTGCTGCGGCAAGCACTTCACTGCTGCGGACAAGGCTGCTGAGGCCTCCGCCAGGCTCGGCCACTGGGCCAATGACCGCAGTGAGCCTCGCACCGTTGTCCTCGGTGCTGAGGGCTTCCAGGGCTGGTCGTACTGGAAGCCACCTGTGCCTGGCCAGGGCAATGGAAGCAGCACCGATGGCGGGGCGGGAGCTGGAGCTGGTTGCTCTGGAGGACGCGCAGCCCAGAAGTGAGGGGCGAGGGTCGCGCGACAGGACGTTGTGCAACACTCGAGTCCATCCAGCAGCTTGGGGCGTCTCCGGGTGACGCGCCAGTAAGGTACGACGCACCGGCATGGTTCCACAGGCCACGCTCCATCAGGCAAGACGGTACGGCGAATTTTCTGTTAGCTTAGAAGGATATGGAGTTACATTCATTTTGTATTGTCTAGCTCCTGTATTTTGAGAGGACGGGACTTGAAAAGTTCAGTTGGATGATTGAAATTGGCGGCGGATCTACGGTAGACATGGCTTGAAGGAAGACTGTTTGGAAGCACGAATATACTCATTGACCGTTCTGTAGCCCCTGATTTGACCTGCCGAGCGCACTGAGCCATGATGCCTCTCTCCCTCCCCGTCGCGCGAGGCGGCGTGGTCATGCAGCGAGTGAAGATTTTTCTCGCCGCACGACCGCGCCCATTCGGCCATTGGTCGGATCGCCTCAGAGCCAACGAAAATCCGTTCCGCATCGGGTTTTATCTGCGGAAGCAGGTGGCTTTGCCCGTCAAGGTGGTCGGGCGGGCTCCTGATGTGGCCGGGGGGTCTGGCGCGCCCACTACCTACACATCCACTGCGTAGGTGTGCACTGAGTAAGCCCAGGGACAGCAGTGCCAAACCGAGCCACCTGGCACTGTGCCCGTCCGTGCCCGGAGCCCGCGCCTACCGTGACCAGAAAGGGCTGCACATGGGAGAGCGCATCCTGCCATCGCGGGTGCTCGACGTGCCCTCCCGGGGTGGGCTTCGCTGGCCCAGGTGCATGTGGCGTCGCACCAGCGCGCTTCCGCTGTCGATTGGCGCTCGCGCGCGCGCGAAAGGCAGGGCTGACGCGGTGCTCGAATGCCGTCGTCCACGTCAAGTCGCGTCGGTCGGCCACGCACACCGAGACGCGACCACACTCGCCGAGTTTCGGCCACCATCTTGCCGATTTTTTTTGGGGTGTGCGGGCTGGCTGGCGGGCTGCCTTGTTCGGTGGAAAACGCTTGCTCGTCGAGCGTCACAGACGGTGAGACACTGGGACGAGGTCAACAGTGGAGTTTGCTGGGGTCGACGAAAGAGGCTAGATATGGCCCGGGCTGAACCGAACGGTTTCCGTTTTAGCTCCCGTCGTGGTGGAGTCGGCAATCAGTGAGCATCGGGGGCGTTTTGGCATGGATTGATGGATGGCTTGGATGGAGCCAGGCCAAGATCAGACGAGGAGCACGGGCCTCAGGCCCTAACCCCGCAACCTCCAGCGAGCGACACACGGACCTTCGATGCCTCGATCATCCGTTTTCTTCCTGGCGATGGCCGAGACGGGTCATGGCTGGCGCGCGCTCGCCCAGGTCCCCGATGTTAGCGACAGCCCCATTCGCAGCAGTTAGCGGGGGCTGCCCTGCCGCCTCACGATTGGATCACCGCGGCCACAGTGTTGGCCTTGGACGGCAACCGGTTCCCATCCCCCAGTTGAGGGCGGCCGCATCGTTGCCAATCGCCAGTAGCGCGATGCGCCTACCGAACGCCTGCTGCGAAATGGGTTGGTCCCTCCGCGAATGGGGGTGGCGCGGTGAGGCCTCATGCGCCTCTTGGCTGGCGTGTCTCACGCGGATGAGTGGAACGGTCCAGTCCGCACCCCCCTCTTCTGGCGTCCTTTGTTCCCCTTGGAGCAGAATCGAGCAAAGCCTATCGTCACGTGGATCAGAGACAGAGGGCGCAGCGTCGAGGTTATCGGGTGCCAGACCGGGCAGAATGCGCGTCACAATGGATGGAGTCGGTCGTGCGCTCGACAAAGGCGTCATCTGCCAGGGGGTCCCAGTCTGCCCCTTCGAGCCCGGGAGGCTGTGCGTTCGGTGCCGCCATTGCACTGACCGACAGACAGGCAGCATGCCAGGCGGACAAGGTGGCTCAAAAGCGATGGCTCTGCTCTCCAGAATCCAGATCCGCGGCTCGTCCAGCAGAACAGATGACGACCCCCTGGCCCCCTCACCCCTGACCCCTGCACATCAAGCTCCCCGTCACCTCCGGCCCCCGCGCCGCCTGCCAGTGAGCTGTCAACTTCCTCAGGCAGACCGGGGGGATGGCTCGATTCCCTGCTGCGCCTGGGCATGCGACTCCTGCTGCGGAGTCCGTCCGGCTCTGGTGTTCCCCGCTCCAGAGCCGCACGCAAGGCAATCTGCGCGCCTATTCTCCGCTCATCCCTAGCTAGATTCTCTCGGTCCCAGTGCCCGTTTAGGACTTGGACAGGGTGCCTCTCCGAAGGGCCATGGGTGCTCGCCTTCTTCAAAGGTCGAGTTCAATACCTGAGCTGGCCCCTCGCCTCTCTCCTCCTCTGGCACAATCATCCAAACGCTGTCCGGATCCGCGCGGCAGTTCTTACGTTCCATCGTTCATTTCGTCTCTTCTTTAACTCTGCGGACGCGGTCCTGCAGAGTCCGTCTTCTGCTTTCCTTCGTTGGATGCCCTGTTCTCTGTCGGATCTACTTTGTTTCGTTCCATCCAATCCCGACGTCAGCCGTGGGTCGCTGAGTCGTCGCCATGCCGACTGACTCGGACTCCATGCGTGCCTGTGTCGGCAGCGACAAGGAGTATGTCAAAGCTTCCGCCGCTGGCCTCGCCAGGTGCTAATACGGATAGCTTTAACCCGGCTGATCGTGGCCCGGACCCTCAGCCGGACCCTGAGCCCCCGGAGCCGAACGACATCCAGAGCTGGATCAACGACTCGGGCGCCTCTGTCGTGCTCCTGTGCCTTTTGCCGCTGCAAGGTGCGGAGACACAAGACGAGGGGCAGGCGACACAGCACGGTCGCTCGTGATCAATCGGCTTGATCATCGCTTTGCTCGGCCCGTACATGCTTTGATGTCGGCCACTGTGAGCATCGCCAACAAAGGTCGCGGTCAGCTTGACGCACCGCGCCTCGGACGTCATCGTCCACCCGCCCGTTCAACACGGCAACAACGTTTGGTTGCACGTGGTACCGTCCAACACCCTACCTCATGCAACCGCGGATCATGGATCCAGCTTCGACATCTTACATATGTTGAACACATTGTCATTTAGCACTGTTCATTTTGTAAGACAGGTAGAGCTGTCAAATGCGGCTTGGCCCCCTGCAGAGGGGCGCCAAGCTCGCAATCTGACTCTTGCTCGTCGCGTCACTCCTTAGTCTTAGCCTGAATAGCACCACTCGTTGAACGCTCGCACAAGATTTCGCTCTCTCTGTGACACACAAATTACCAAAAACGGCAATGAGCTGCCTGCATCATCGGTGGCGATGGTGCCCGCTGCCGCCAGCGGCAAGATACAGTAGTTCGAAACCGCACCAAACTGCAGCAATTTTTTCGCGTCATGTGGTCCGCACCCACCGAATCTCGCAATCTGCATCGCCAAAAAATGTGCAGGTTTCGAAATTGGGTGAGCCACGTGTCCGCCGGGAACGGGCAGACCCCGTGACCAACGAACGCATCGATGCTCTCAAGTCGAAAGATCTCGGATCACGGTGCGGCTGAACGGGGGTGATCCTGGCCCTTCAGTGGCGAGCCACTCCGTGCTGATTTCCAGGGTCTCCTGCAAACCCGTCCAAGATATGCAGCGCCAAAAAGAGGCTGCCCCGTGGCAAGGAAAAGTTGCCTAACGCACAAAATGAAGGCATCGTCTCCCGTCCGGGTCATCCCGGAGGAGGCGGCGGCGGCGGCGTATTTCGTTTGCCCAGCTTCCACAGCAGTCGCGTACCTGAAAGTCTGAGACAGAGGCAACGTGATGGCGCCTGTTGCAACATGCCAAGCGTGTCGTACAAGACAAGCTGACAGACGTGCACCGATCGACCCGCTGCAAAGGTAGCATTTGGCTGCTTTCCCGCCCCGGGACCGTCTACGGGGGGCCGGCGTGACGAGTGTGCGCTGTAGGTCAGCGCGCGGCGAGGGCTGAAGGCGCCGTGGGCATGGTAGCGCGGGCGCCTGCATCCCCTTTGTTGGGTTGACGTTTCTCAACGTCTGCATGCACGATGGAGCCAATTGCCGCGCGCAGTCATATATGACATGCGGTTTTCAGGAAGAATTCATCCGCCCTTGCAAAGGCTCGGCATCGGAGTTGCTCCAGGTGGTCGACGCACTCGAGGACCCCTGGCCTGGTGGAATGAACACGCGGTCAGCTTGTTTGAAGTAACATCCGTTTCTGGCCAGATCCGTAGTCGCAGCCGCAGTGCCTTTCTTTTTCCCTTACCCAAGCGCCATCTTCCGATTGGGGTTTCCTGCGTGTTCGGCATCGCACCCCGAAGGAACTCCCTGGTCTAGCGTTGCGGCAGCCATTGCGCCCGATGGAGGGCTACCCTCGTGAGACCGGCGATCGGCAGTCGTCGATATCGCCTGAGCCTTCCCATGTTTGTGCCATCCCTGCACCCTTGGTTGGTGAGGCTGCACCGGCCACCTGGATAGGATGGCGCATCGTCTTGCATGATGTTTGGTATGTCCGGACCACCTGGGCAATCGACGCCAATGAGATTGCCGCGCACCACAGGAGAATCGTATATTCACGCGTATGTGTGAGTATGTGCGTTGCTAAAATTGCGCTGACGAGGTAAGCCGAATTCAATGCGCAAGTCCGAAATGCCTGTCCAAACATATGGAGCACCAATGGGTTTTTGATCGTGGGCAGCACGTTATAAATATCGCAGGCCGCATCTCATCATGTTTCAAATGATTCCCATCCGCCTGGCTCATTCTGCCACCATCTCTCTTCAAATTCACCATGTCATCCACACAAGCTCACCGTGGCTCAGATGCCGGAGATCTGTGAGTGCTTACTACCCCTGCCAGTCGGCTGTCGCTACCGGCGACTAACGGATGTCGGCGCCTGAACACAGCGATGATTTCCGTGTTGTACTCGACATCCCGGACACTCATGGCGGCCAACGGTCGGCTGTGAATCGCTACGAGCGCAGTCTGGACGATCCAGTCAATGCGAGGTTGATTGCGGGGCCTAGTCAACGGCGTGCGATCCCACCTGTCTTACTGAGCGTGGCTGCTTGCTTTGCCTCCGTACAGGTCGCTGCCGAGGCACAACGGCCACTTATACCTAGAAAGGAGGAGCCGGCTGCAGGATAGATATTGCATGGGATATCGTTGGTTCGAGTCTGGTCCGACAGCTCAGTGTTGCTTACGCGCATATGCATGCGCTACAGGCGGCAATTTTGCATAAATATGACGCACATGACGCAAGTCTTGGTCGGGGGCTGGGGTTAGATCGAAGAGCTTGCTGCTGCTGTCTCAGTTGGCTGTTGGGCTGGTGTACACATAGATGTCTTTGCTCGATCTGCCTCTTGGAGTTTGCATGGAGAAAATAAATGTATGCGTGTGGTCGTTCATTGGAGCTCTCCCCTCTACCCTGCTGTGGGCCACGATGCAGCTCGCGTCAACCCCCATCGCCCCAGTCTGGGCATACGGAAGCGAGCCGGGGCAAGGGGAAGATATTGACAGCTTGGCCCAACCGGCTATCCATAGCCCTCGAGCCTAGATCCAGCGAGGGCACAGGCCGCACGCAGGCAACGATCTCGACCCAACGGCCGTTCGGGCGGTTGCCTCCCGGACGCCGGTGCGTTTTCTACAATGGCTTGGTGGCGTGCTCTTGGCTTGTCGGCTCTTAGTACTGGTTCTACTGCATGGCGGCGGTCCCGCCTGGTGGCGGTCCGGGTGGGGCCGAGATTTCTGCTGTGGGCCTTCCGGCGGTGCAGAACATTTTCTCCCGGGAGGCCGGGATCGAAACCGGCCTCATGCAGTGCGACGTGGCAGACCCGGTCCCGTCCTCGAATTTCGGGCGAAGGGCATCAATCGAATCTATGACGGGCGCTGATGCAGCACATGAGCCGCACGTGACGTTGCTCGGGATCGCCGAGATGACGAGTCACCAGAACCTCGTGTGTGAGGGCTTACTGACAGGTTGAAACGCTCACAGACCGCCTCGACTTGTCGACCCCGTCTCGAATCACCACGCAACGCAGCCCCAGGCATTCGAGGCGCAGAGCGCGGACCAACAGGCCCCTCGTCTGCATATCAACCCAGCCAGCGGCACGTCACACACGCAGCGCCGTTGAGAACCCGTTTGACAGGCAGACAAAGTGGAGAAGCTAGCATCTGTCATGCAAAAAGCTTACTAAAAGACCGACTCTGCGGGTGGGTTCCAAACGTCCGACGCCCGAGCACGCCATCGACCTAGCGCCAGGGTTGACAAGTCGAGTATTTCTCGTCGTGCTCGCCGCGTGGTGCGCACGCGACCGACGTTCCTGCATCTCTCAAAAAACGCCTCCTTCTTGGCAAGAACGGTCACCTAACCGTCACCGACTGTCCGCGGCTGCTGACCGGGATCGCGACGAGGCGACGAATCCAGCAGCCTGTCGGCTTACATCGTGACCTGCAATCGCCTTCCGCTTTGGGCGTTGCCCCGCATCTGCGTCGGTAGTGACTCTAGCGAGAGTCCTCCCGTCTCAGACCTGCCGGGAGGTCTCAGACATCACTCACTCTTCACCTCACCTCACCTCACCTCATCTCACACAGCGCCATGGGACACATACACGAGGTCGACATGCCGCCCTCGGGCAAGGAGCCGCACCCCGAGCTCGAGGAGGGCCAGGTGTTTGCGCACTCGGACCGCCTCAAGCGCTCCCTGTCCGCGCGGCAAGTGCAGATGATTGCCATCGGCGGCACCATTGGCACGGGTCTATTTCTCGGCACGGGCAAGTCGCTGGCGACGGGCGGGCCGGCGTCGATGCTCATCTGCTATGCCATCATCGGCGCCATTGTCTTCGTCACGATGCTGTGTCTTGGCGAGATGGCGGCATTCATCCCCGTGGCCGGTAGCTTCTGCACGTACGTCGGCCGCTTTGTCGACGATGCATTCGGCTTCGCCTTGACCTGGAATTACTGGTTCAACGATGCCGTGTCGACCGCCTCCGATCTGGTCGCGCTGCAGCTCATTCTCAAGTACTGGACCGACAACTTTCCTGGGTGGGCCCTGAGTCTCATCTTTTGGTTCGTGCTCATCGGACTCAACATTGTGACGGTGCGGGCGTATGGTGAAGTGGAGTACTGGCTCAGCCTGCTCAAGGTTATCACCATTGTTGTACGTTTACCGTGCAATTCGGCAGGCCAAGGCGGTCTTCAGCCGCTGACAAAATGCAGGTTTTCATCATCATGGGCATCGTCGTGAATGCTGGCGGCAACATGGACCACCACTACATCGGTGGCGAGAACTGGCATATCCCGGGCGCACCGTTTGTTGATGGCATTGGCGGCTTCGCCTCGGTGTTTGTGACGGCATCGTTTGCGTGTACGCTTCCCTGCCGCAATTTTGAGGATCGTTTGAGGCAACAGGGCTGACGGGCGAGCAGACGGCGGAACCGAATCCATCGCCATTACGGCTGGTGAGACCAAGAACCCGACGAAGAACATGCCGCGCGTCGTGAAGAACGTGTTCTGGCGCATCCTGCTCTTCTAGTAAGCACCCCGCCCCGTCCCGTTCAATTTGTGCGACTTAGCTGACCGCAAGCAGTATCCTGTCAATCCTGCTCATCGGACTCAATGTGCCCTACACCTACCCCAACCTTTCGTCGAAGGAAACGACGACGTCGCCCTTTACCATCGTGTTCCAAATGACGGGCGCCAAGGCCGCCGGTAGCGTCATTAACGCTGTCATCCTGACTAGTGTCTTGTCGGCCGGCAACCACGCGCTTTTCGCGGGTGCACGTCTGCTGTTCACGCTCGGCGTGGAGGGTCACGCCCCGCGCGTTTTCAGCAAGCTCAATCGCCACCAAGTGCCGTGGGTCGCAGTCCTCGCGACGAGCCTCATCGCAGGCCTGTGCTTCGGCTCTAGCTTCATCGGCGCGGGGCAGCTTTGGACCTGGTTGCAAAAGTAAGTTTGGTCGAAAATTCTGGTCATTTTGATGGATGTGATGGCTAATCTTAGCAGCCTTGTCGGAGTCTCGAACCAGCTCAGCTGGATCTCCATCGGCATCGCCTCTCTGCGCTTCCGCGCTGCGCTCGAGCGCCAGGGCAAGACGCACCTCCTTCCGTTCAAGAACTGGACATACCCGTGGGGACCGTGGATCGCCGTCGTGCTCAACAGCTTCCTCGTCCTCGTGCAGGGCTGGAGCTGCTTCAGCCCGAAATTCGACGCCGTCAGCTTCGTCAGCTTCTACATTGAGCTGCCTGTCATGCTCGTCATGTTTGTGGCGTGGAAGCTGATCAAGCGGACCAAGTTTGTGAGGCTGGAAGAGATGGATCTGGAAACAGATGTCTATCCGGCCGAGCCTGAGCTGGAGAAAGAGAAGGGGTGGCAATCGAAACTGAAGAGCGCAGTGACATGGGTGTTTTAGCGTTTAGCGGCATAGCAATGCATTGCGTTTTATTTTCAGGCGCATACACCAAAATTGCCGACACGATCCATGTGGGGATTGGTCGGAGCCCAACCAGAGTGAATATACGCACGAAATGCGAGAGAATCGACAGCAAAGCCTTGGCGAGGTTGGTCCAAAGAGCGGCGGCGATTGATGAGGCTAAATTGGCCAACAGAAATGCAGGGTCGTGGGAGCTAATTGGAGGAGAGGCACCGGAAGGGTCCCCGGCGCTAGAGACCCTTGGTGCATGACGGGCGGGCGCTGCACCCGCTGAGTGCCGCCCGCGGGCGTGCTGGCGCTGCTGGGCGTGCCGCCGGTGCAAACTCTTAGCCGCCACTGTTGAGAATGAGGCCAGCGTCGAGCGCAACCCAATTGAATGTCTCGCTCCTCTCCTCTCCTCTCGCCTTCCCCTCATCGCTCGTCTGCTTAGGAAGAAGACGACTCGACGGCGTGAGCTCGACGAGCAACGCATCAACCGTCATCCGTCTCAGCCCAAGGGATTGAATCTTGATGCCTGTGGCCAGGGGTCCCAATTCCAGGCGCTGATCGCTCCACCACTCCCCGCAGTCCGATCCGCCCGCCCATGTCTATCACGAGCCTCAGCCCAGGCCATGCTCCGTGCACGCGCTCGCCGCGGGACAAGCGGGCCAACAAGGATCCCGACACCCTGCGGCAGCAGCAGCAGCAACGCGAGCTGGGCCGGCGGCACAGTCGCGACGTCGAACCTAAGGCCCGTTCGGGAGACGATGGCAGCTTCGAGATGGTATGTGTCGGTGCTGCACGAGCCCGGGCAGCTGAGGTGACACTGATTTCGTAGATCCGCCGCGAACTAGACGCCGACTGCACCATTGTCATATCGAGCTCCCCCCTCGCCACCCCGGTGAAGCAGGAGAGGAGCGCGGCCAAGGCGGAGGCGCCTCAGGCCCGGCAGGCGCACAAGAGCCGCCGACAGGTACGCCGCCACCCGTGACTGTTGGACGGAGACTGACCCAAGCAGCGCCTGAGCAACGCCGTCATGAGATGCCACGCGTGCGGCACGGGGGACACGCCCGAGTGGCGGCACGGGCCGGACGGACCGGGGACGCTGTGCAACGTGTGCGGGCTCGTCTTTCAGAAGCAGCAGCGACGGTTCTTGCGGGACGCCGGCCGGCGGTGGTGATGCGATATGATGGTTGTGGACACTGGCGAGCGAGCATGGTTCGACAACTGGCCCATTGGCTGGTATTCTTTCTTGTATCTTCAATATCTCGACCTGCTTGCGCTCCTCGCAGTCTCCCATGGGCAGAAAGCGGGCCGACGGGCAAGCAGGCATTGCGCTGCATGTGAACTCGACGCACAAGACGGACGATGGATTGGGCACATGGTTCTGGGCTGGGGCATGAGTGGCGGGCTTAGCATGCGTCGACGTATTGAACACACGGCGATGGCTTCATGTTGGACGCACAGCGTGGGCAAGAGCTTCGGTACGTAACCTGGATGACGGCCTGAGCGCATGGCCGTGCATTCGGCCCAGCATCGTACCGAACTTGTGCGCTGCATCCATACGTGACGATTGCATCCACTGTCGACTGGACCGGGGCACGAGGTGCACGCAACACCCAAGTCCCTGTTGCTGAACAGGCCTACGCGCCTCATGTTGACATCTGACGTTGACCGGACTTTGGTGGCAATTGTCTCTTGTGCCGGGTCGACCGCAGTTGTGAGCCAAAACGTGTGCACAGTGTTTCAAACTTGAATGTTTCCGAGGCAAACGCGTCTTTGATTGTGGCTAACTGAAGAGGTGGCTCGCCACGACTGTTTGCTTCCTGTGATCACCCCGACCGTCCATGTCATGAATTACCCCCCTGTCCTCCATCACCCATTCGAGCCTCCCGTTCCCAACGCATCCGTCATCCGAATCAATGTTCCCCTCTCTCGGTGGCGGCATCGTACTTGGTGAGGCTATTCGTTCTGGTTGTCGTTGCCCTGGACAGGCACGGTGGCGCCGTCCTGGCCGCCAGACGCGGTGGGCTGCTGACGACTGTGGGAGTTTCTGTTGGGGACGATGATGCCCGTGACAGAATCGACACCATGCTTCTTCTTGATCTCCTCGACGGCTGTCATAACGTCTGCTGAGTTGAAGGAGATAAAGGCCGTGGCGTCCTCCAGGCCGCGAGCCTTGTTCCACTCAGGGATGACATGGCTGTATCTGGCTCTCGTGATCATGTCCTCGGCGGCGCTAAGAGCGTTGTCGGGGTCGGCAGCCATCTCCTTCACCAGAAGCTGAATCGCAGGAGAGAGGGCGGCGTTGGCCTCGTTGTCGCGACCGTGGTTGTTGTTGTTGTTCTCAGCCATTTCGAACAGCTTCTTGGCAGAACGGACAAGAGAGATGGAGATGGAAGTGGTGTGAATTGTTTTTTGATTTTGTGCGTGTTTGTGTGCGTGTGCGAGTGTGTGGTTTTGCACGAGTGTGGCTGCAAGGTGCAAAGGTGCGGCTGCGAACGTGGGAGGAGGGGAGGTTTATATGCCAGTCGAACCGCGCCTGCAGAGAGACAGTGATTCACGGACAATGGGCGGCTTATTGTTCCTGAGGCATGAACATTGGAGGTGAACGGCGTGGCCCTTGGCTGCCTGGCCACGGGAGCTGTTCACCCTCAGCCTCCCAGCAACGGGGCAAGGCCGGCCCAGCTGCTCGCGCACTGCTCGTTCACAGCGCCGCAAGTGTTTTCCTCCTTGCCTACTGCGATGTGTGGGATCTCGATACCCGTCAAGGGTGAATGCCGTGCATGCCGCCGGCCGAGGCAGAGCCGGGCATCGCAGAGTGACATCCCCTTCCGATACTTGCGTGCTTGTGCGCGTTCGTGGTGTAAAGGCTTGAGAAGCGAAGCAAATGCAGGCAGAACTTGTGCGGGAGACCTATATTCGGTCCTATGCCTGTGCTGGGACGACCGGATGTTGCAGAATCTATCCAGCCCTTTCGCCAGCTTTCCATGAGAAACATCAGACGAAATCCGCGGAGCAACTCTCCGAACCTGAGGCCACAACATCGTCCCAGGTGTAGAGCTGAACACCGTTCTCCTGCACATCTTGAGCCTGCGTCGCTCCTCCAGCCTTCACACCACACCGCGAGCGCGCAAACACAACCACACACACAACCACACACATCTCCCCCGCCTTGTGTCTCTATCTCAATCTATATCTTGTCGGTATCGTATTCAAAATGACTTCAAACAACGACGAGACCACCACCACTACCACGACGACGACGACGACGACGACGACCACCACCACCACCACCACCACCACCGCTACTGCCGCTACTGCCGCGAGCAGCAACATAAATAACAGAGGTGGCGGCCAAGGCGGCGGCGACCGGGGAGGCCGTGGCAGTGGAAGCGACCTTGTGGGCACTTCTCGTCAGGTAGGCGGTGGCTCGAACCAAGGCCGCTCTGGCCGAGGTTCTGGAGTATCCCGCGGCACCACCGGCGTGACCACCAATGGGGCTGGACTAAGTGGCCTCGAGCATTCGTTGGACCCTCTTCAAAGAGTCCAAAGTGGCCGCGTGGAGCGATCTCGCCAGCGCGCCGAGCCCGTCACCCGCCGGCTGACGTTCGACCCTCCGGCAACGGACGTCACGACCATGACCCCGTTCGGGGCCACTAGAAGGGCGCTGACCTTCGACGATGCCCCCCCAGCCGTTGTTGTGCAGTGTGCCGGCTGCCAGGGCACCGACCACACGCTCGGGGTCTGTCTGGAGGCGGACGAGCATACAGGCCGCGTCCACGGCTGCGCGGTCTGCAACGAACTGCACCAAATGAGCACGTGCCAGCACTTCAACGCTTTGAGCTGGGAGCGGCAGTACGAGATGGTTGTCCTCGAGAGGGGACGCATGCCGCCCCTCGAGATGGGCGACTCTTCTTGGATCAGGGTCCTCGCGAGGGCCGACGAGAATTCGTCCGGCCCGATGCCCGCGCTCGCGTCCTTGCCATGGACCGGCGCGTTTTCCAGCCGCTGGATCAGGAATGCCGATTCGCGGACGCGGGCCGCAATGTCCGATTTCTACCTGACCAGAGATCGGTCCCTACTCCCCGTCGACCCCCAGACGGAAACCTTGGAGCTTGCCATGCGGCATTTCGACATCCGGAATCCCCTACGCCACATTGGGGCATCCGGCGCCGTGGCCTCCGAGTAGCTCGACGTCAATGACCACCACGGAGAGGCGGCCTCGGTGGGTGACGGACTAGAGGCATCGAGAAAGGTCCGAGTGGCCGCGCGGTGGTTGGAGGGAGGCTGCGGATGGGTTATGGCGCACGGGTACATGTAATGCTGTAGACGAGGTGAATGATGATATTGGCGTTGATTTGGCCGTGGCAATGTGCGTACATCGTATCAGTCCCCGTAGGCGCGAGATTGCAGTCTGGCAGAGTTTCGAATGGCGATCCCCTCCGACGCAAAGCCTGAAGGCTTCGACATCATCCAGGCAACATGCAAAGATTGGTGGCCACGGATTCAAACGGACATCTTGGTTTCTCACACGCCTGCGCCGAGCTCCGGCAAACGAGCCGTCATTCGGATCCGGCGGTGCACGGGTTCGTCTCCAAGTTCCCGGTCTTCGCGCCGAGCACGGTAACGCATGGACTGGCTAGGTGATGGGAGATTCCTTGTACATGCCCTTTGGCCACATTGGTTGTCCGACCTGGCGCTGAAGCACGGCGCCGTCATCATCATCGGACATCCGTCGGGTGGGCGGTGGGTCGGCTGCCGGGATCGGGGGCGTCGGAGTGCATCCCCGAGGCCAATAGCCCTCGCTGACGCCTCACCTCATCCTGTACCTGACCTGTACCTCACACCATGCCGCGCCGCGTGCACAACTCGACACATTCACAACCAGACCCGCTGGCGGGCATCACTCATGCTCGACCCGCCGCTGCCAGCGATTGACTGAGCGCGCCGCCGACGGGTGCGACGCCGACAACGCGCCATTGAATCGCCGACGGGAGCGACCGCCGACACCATGTCGCAGCCGGACCAGGTCACGTCGCGGCCGGTTGCGTGAGCACCCTCGTGCATGCTGCATCGTGGGCGATGGCCGACCCCGCTGACCACGGCTGCAGATGCCTCCACTGCCGCCGCCGGCGCTCGTACTGCTCCAAGGAGAAGCCGACGTGCTCGCGGTGCCGCGACGCGGGGCTCGAATGCGTCTACGAGGGCGCGCGCAAGGTGCTCGTCAACGAGACGTACCTGCGCGAGCTCGAGGCCAAGTCCAAGGCGCTCGACAAGGTGCTGGCCGGCGGTGCGCCCAAGGACGGCGAGCAAGATGCGGAGGCCAGCCAGGCCAAGCAGCACCATCACGACTTTGACGAGCACGAGCCGCTGGTGGCGCTGACGCGGCTGAGCCTCAACTCGACCAGTACGTTTATTCACACCCGAGTGTCTCGCCGCGAACGATGTGCTGACCTCGCAGGCTTCCAGGGCCCGGCGTCGTCGGACAGCTTCCTCCGCAGCGTGCGCAAGCTGTCCGGGCTGGGCGAAGGCGAGGGCGAGGGCCTGGCGCGCAGCCTGTACGAGCCCGACGCCCTGCCGTCGCGACGCCAAGTGAGACGCTCGCGGCTGCCGCCCATCGACATTGCGCGGCGGCTGTTTGCGGCGCAGTACATGTACATTGGCACCATCTTTGCGTTTACGGACCCGCGCGAGTCGTTTGAGCGGCTGCTGATGGAGGCGTACCGGCGCGGGCCCCCGGACGCCGACGACCGCGAGGCCTGCCTCAAGCACGCCAAGGTGCTGCTGGTGCTGGCGTTTGGGCAGCTGTACTCGGTCAACCAGTGGGTCGACTTCCGCGGGCCGCCGGGGTTCGACTACTTTACCGACGCGCTGGGCCTGCTGCCGGAGACGCACGAGGAGGGCTCGGTGCTGAGCGTGGAGACGCTGGCGCTGGCGGGCTACTTTATGGCCAACATGAACCGGCGCGACGCGGCGTTTCAGTACATTGGCAAGGCGGTGCGCATGGCCGTGTCGCTGGGCCTGCACGAGGAGGTGGAGTGGCCGACGGCCGGGGAGGACGACGACGGGGCCGAGGCGGAGCACCGGCGGCGCGTGTGGTGGTCCGTCTACAGCATGGACCGGATCCTGTGCGTCAAGTCGGGCAACCCCATCAGCATCCAGGACGAGGACGTGGGCGTGGGCCCGCCGTCGCGGCTGGCGGGCGACGCCGAGTACTGCCCGGCCGTGGTGCTGCGGCACTACACGGAGCTGTCGCGGATCCTGGGCCGCATCCACACGACCATCTACCGGCGGCCGGGCCAGGGCGCGCCGCGCTCGGGCCGCAGCCTCATCGCCGCGGTGCAGGCCATCATGACGGCGCTGTCGCGCTGGCACCGCGAGCTGCCCGACGGGCTGCGCTTCGAGCCCGCGCGCCTGCGCTTCAGCCGCGAGAGCGTCGGCGCCCTCGCCCACTACTACCAGTGCATCAACATGGCGGTGCGCCCGCTGCTGTTCCACGTCGTGCAGCGGCGCCTGCGCGCGGGCGAGCGGGGGGGGGACTGGCGCGAGGGGCTGTCGCCGACGACGGTGCGCGTCGTCGACATGTGCGTCGGCGCGGCGCAGGACGTGGTCAACATGATGGCCATAGCTGCGCAGCGCGACATGGTTGGTGAGTCTCCTCTGGCCTTTGCTTAATCCACCGGGTGCTGACCGACGCCGGCATGCAGCAACGTACGGCTACATGGACGGCGAGCACATCTTTTCCGCCACCATCGTCCTCGTCATGGTGTGCGCCGCCTTCCCCCCCGACGCGGCGAGCGCGGCGGCCACCGAGACGGGCCTCGGGCTGCTGCGTGCCATGGGCGAGCGCGGCAACAGCCACATGGGCGCGCGGTACGAGCTGCTCGCGAGCCTGCACTCGCCGCCGGTGCAGACGCAGCCTTTCGCGGCCGGGGACCCGGGCGTCGTCGAGGTGCCGCCCGCCTTCCCCGTCGTCAGCAACAGCGCCCTCGAGGAGCCGCTGCACGACGACATGGACCTGCGGCTGTGGGAGGAGGGCTTTGCGTACCCGGCCATGGACCTGGACCTGCCGGGGAGCATGAGCCTGTCGGATTTCATGTACGGCGTGGGCGATGCGTGAGGCTTCAGTGGGGGTCATAGGTGCGAGAATGAAGCGTCGGGAACATGACGGCAGTTGCTCGAGGTACGTGAGGCGTGGCAATGCATGTGAGGCGTGTGGCTGACAGATACCCAGGTGCATGAGAAGCAGCGCGCACGTCACGGCAGATACACTCAGAACATCGCGACAAATCGCAATGGACACACGTAATGAGGCAATCCGGTGACGCATGATGGGTGCTTGCCAGTGGGATCCCAGGTTCGCGTTAGAACGTCATGGCAGATGCGCAGTACGTACATCACGACACGTTACAGCAGATACAGTAACGACAGAAGTCGGCGGGGCGCTGCATGGCGGGGTAGGCCTGCCCAGCAGACGCTGTACATAGAGATCGCGGCACATAGCAGAACACAGGATGCATGGTTTCAGCGTCGGGCTCAATTCCTATCGGCGGTGTCGGCTGGACGAGGGTGTCTGTTCCTCGCCATCCTGTGCATATGATAGACTCATGCTGGACGAGGGTTGTGTCCGCTCGCCCATCCCTGCACGTCCATCCATCGCCTGTCCAGCGCGTCCACTACCCCATCTGCGTGGGCCCGATAAAGTTGAGATCCAGGCTCTCATAGTCCCACAGGCTCGCCAGGTCGCCCAGGTCCTGCTGCGTGATGTTGCCAAACTCGACCGCCTGGTAGGGGTTCGGATTTGCCTCCTGGTACGCCGGGTAGCCCATGGCCACGGGCGCAGACGTCGGCACGAGGCCGTGCGCCGTCGACGGGGGGTACGCCGGCCCGGGGGCCATGGTGACGGGCATCGGCGCGGGGGGAGCGAGCGCCATGCCGCCGGCGTACGGGTACGGCGCCGTTCCGGGCGCCATGGCGGGGGCGGGTGCGATGTCGTCGGGCCTGACGCGCTTCCTGGACTCGGGCGGCCGCGCGGGCATCCTGGCCGGCGGTGAGGGCAAGGGGTCCGCGGGCCGGGGGCTGCGGGTGACGCGCTGCGAGACGCGGACGAGGACCTCGTACGACGTGCGGGCGGCCTTGGTGACGGTGTTGAGGCGGCGCAGCATGGCGACGGCGCCGTCGATGGCGGCGAGGATCTCGTCGCGCCGCGCGATGCTGCCGTCGTCGTCGTGCATGAGCGACGAGCACAGCACGGCGGCCGTGTCAAAGATGCAAAAGAGCACCCAGTGGAACTTGGCGTCGCGCGGGTACACGTAGTCGAAGAAGCCGTAGAGGGCGTTCATGAGGCGCAGCGCGTGGTCGATGCCCTGGCTGCGGATGCCGAGCTCCGTGGGCGGCGACGTCGCCGCCATGTGGCGGGCCAGGTAGCCGCGGAAGGGGTCGAGCAGCATCGAGTAGGTCATGGTGCGCAGGTAGTGGCGGTGGAGGGCGATCCAGTGGCGCTGGGCGTCGGCGCTCTCGTCGGGGCTGTCGAGGTCGTAGGCGGCGGGCCAGGTGCGCGTCCAGTCCTCGATGAGGCGCTGGTACTCTTGCACGTCGTCGGGGCCGGTGACGTTCTTGACGGGGCCGAAGCGGTGGGCGAGCCGCATGATGATTTCCGACTGCAGCTTCATGTGCAGCAGCGGCGACGGCGAGTAGCCCTCGAGCTTGAGGCTGGGCAGCCCGACGTCGCAGTCGGTGCGGTCGATGAGCAGGGGGCGCGAGAGCAGCGACGACGTTTGCCTGGAGGGTCAGCTACATCAGGTGCGGTTTCGAGCCGGCACGCACCAGTCCCAGGTGTTGAGGATGCACCACACCCGTCTGCGCATCTCGCGGTCGAATTCAGACATGTGCCCGGCGACGGCCTCGTGGTGGAGTTCTGCCATTGTCAGCGAGCGTCCATGATGTAAAGGTGTCAACGCACCCAGCTCCTGGGCCTCGCGGATGGCCGTGCTCAAGACGTGCCAGCACTCGACGAAGCGCGCCTCCGACTTGTACCAGTAGCACGAGTGCAGCAGCGACTGGACGTTGAGCAGGTGGTTGTGGCCGACGGGGATGACGCTGTGCAGCTCGCGGTGGGCGTTGTGGTAGGCCTCGGTCAGGCGCTGCGTCGACTCGCCGAGGTCGGCCTCGAGCTTCTGCTGCAGCTCGGCGTCGGTGTACTGCGCCGAGCACGCGCACACGACGAGCAGCAGGCACGTCCACTGCAGGCCGAGCGGGCGGTTGTCGGAGCGCAGCGCCCACCAGTCGCGGTACTCGTCGAGGAACGAGGGCGGGTAGATGATGTAGTAGTGGTAGTTGACGTTGTTGAGAAAGTTTTGGACGAGCGAGTCTGCAGGGTCAGGGTCAGCGCGGCACCATTGCCACGGAAAGGGACCTTACCCGTGTACGGCCGCGGCGGCAGCACCTGGAGGGCGCGGGCGAGCTGCGGACACGATCCGGCGTCCATGTAGTACTGCCGCTGCTGCCTCGCGCTCGTCTTGGATCTCCGCTGGCAGGGTCAGTCCGGCTTCGATAATGACGGCACGCGACTTACATCCTGGCCGAGCCCGGAGAAGAGGTGGGACGCCGTGTACCCCAGGGCCTCGAAGCCGCTGTCGGCGTCATCCCAGGGGTTCGTGTCGGTCGAGTCGGTGTCGTCGTTGCTGTGCTGGCGCTTGCGCGAGTCGCCCGGCCGGTCGGGGCTGGCGCCGCCGAAGCGACACTTGTCGGCGACCTTGCGCTTCTGGCAGTGGTTGCAGGGCCATTCGCGGTTGCACTGAGGGGAGGGTCAGCGGGATGCCGGCGGCGAGAGAGCAGACGACGCACCTTTTGCTTGCGGCGCTGGCACTCGGTGCATGCGGAGCGGCTGTAGCCTTCCTTGGGGCTCTCGCCCATGCTGGCGGCGGCGGTTTGGCGGGGGCTCAGCCGGAGCCGGCGCGTTCAGTCAGGACGGGACTCAAGGCGAGCTGTGGCCGCGGCGGACGTGTGCCTCGCGAGGCTCATGCGCGGCGTCGACGACGAATCTCGTCTGCGTGGGCTGGGCGCTGTGACGGCGGGCGGAGCGAGGTCGCAGCGGCACGCGCGGGTCGCAGCGGCATGGCATGGCGGATGTGCAGCGGCGGAGGGTCGACGTTGGAGCTCGCGGTCGCGGGGGCGGGAGGTGGACACTGGACGCTGCGCTCCACTGCTGGGCCTGTGGACTCTGGAGGGCCGGCGGAGGCGGCGGCGGCGGGCTGGAGAAACCTTTATTCGCGACCGGAGACGGCCATTGCAGCGCCATTCGCCGGGGCGCCTCAGCCCCATTTGCCATGTCTCTGCCGCTGTTGGATGGCAATCTGCGCCATGGCAATCTGGCGTCGCACGAGCTCTCGCCAGGGCTTGAGGAGGCGGACTTTCCGGGCATGCGCCGAGGAGCCACTCCGTAGCTCTTGGTAGCCGACCTTTCGTCCCCCTTGAGCACGCCCAACCGCGACCTGCAACCGGCTCCCAGGCCCCCTTGCGGCCCAAGCTCGCGGGCGCTCCCGCAGTGAACCATCCATGTCGGGCGTCCGCCCGTGATCGGCAGCCGACCGACCGTTGAGCCACCGGCGCCCCGGGCGCGGGTCAACCAGTCCCGCCTCTCAACGTCGCCATGTCTCAGCAGGCTCCCAACGCCCTGGCGCGTCCTGCTTTTTGCTACGAGACTCGCTTTGCAGCTCACGCGCAAATACTTGACGGTCCACATGCACCTCGTGCACGTCGGCGGCTTGGCGTGTTTGCTCGAGCGCTGCTTGCTCGCCCTGTGTGCCTACATTCCGAACCGCCGGCCGCTTCGTGGCCCTCTTGCGAATGGCGACGGTTCAGGGTACGTAATCTGCCTGGCCTCGTATCGTGGGCCGTGGTGCAAGCGCTCTTGCGTGGAAGCGCATGTTGGCTCCCGCGACAACGCCAGCCACAACTGAGGCGCAGATTCACATCGTAGAAGCGGCTGCGTCGTCCACGGCTTGGCGCTGTTGGTGCCCGCGGCGCACGCATCCGAGATGGACTCGCCGGCCCGGTCGCCGTTAAGCGCTGCCGACCCAAGTGCCGTGCCATGCGGCCTCGCTTTGCGGCCAACGGCGGGCGCACGCGTTCGACCTGCGATGCTTCCTTGCGTTTCGTAGCATGTGGCATTCGGGCCGGGATTCCAAATCCCAGACCGGTCCGGGGCCCAACTGCGCACTTGCACCGGCTGCCGACCGTAGACCTCGTCGGGTGGGCGCGTCTGATCCGTGTCATCGTGCCGTTGTGTGCCGTCTGGTGACGTTGATGCTCTGTATGTACGCAGTCAGGGCACCTCGATTACTGCTGCACAGTGGCCGATGACATGCATTCAGTCATCTGTCATGTTTCTCAATGCGCGCAGCATGCAGACGCCATGCGGCTACGGGCATGCGCACGACGGCGACCTTCCTCTCTACATACTACACTTGACGTGATTCCTGTCCGTGCTTCAGACCTCTTTACGACGAGCCACACAGATCTGTAGTGTTAGTCCCCCCGTCCCAGGTCCCGGCGGACTCGCCACACGCGCGACCCGACCGGCCGCTTCTGGTTCCCCTGGAGCACCTCGACCCAGGGCACCGCGCCCTCCACGTCCGCAGACATGTCCGCCTCCTCGGACGAGTCGTCGCTCGTGTCCTCGTCGGTGACCTCGAGCTCGGCGACGGCCTCGCCCGTGTCCTGCTCGTGCAGGTGCTCCGTGTACGCCCACGTAGGGGCGTCAAACTTGCCGTGGACGAGGACGACGTCGTGGCCGTGCGCGCGGGCGTCGGCGATCCGCTGCACCGGCATGGGCGTCAGGACCTGCAGCGTCTTTTGCGCGGCGTCGACCCCGCGGACGAGGGCGAGCCCGATGGTGCGCGAGTGCCGCGGGTCCAGGGCGACGTCGTTGGGGTTGGGTATAAAGGGCAGGCCCTCGGGCGTCGGGCGCGCGTCGGGCAGGCCGCGGAGGGCCTCGGGCGACTCCACCTCGACGACGGCCAGGATCGCGCCGTTGATGGCCTCGGCGAGCAGGTCCGCCTGCAACTGGTAGTCGTAGCGCAGGATGCCGCGGATGGCGCCCCGGGCGTAGTGCACGACGAGCGGGCGCGCTGCCGACAGCGCCGACGGCGTCCACGACAGGCGCGGGCCGCCGGGCACGCTGTGAAAGTAGGACATGGCCTGCATGTCGCGAAAGTGCGCGGCCGTGCGCGACGCAAACTCGGCGGGCTGCGACGGCAGCGCCGTGAAGCCGTCCCGGGCCGCCTCGGTGAGCGCGTCGACCGTCTCCGCGGGCCCTTCCTCCGACATGTAGACGACCTCGGGCCGGATGTTGGTGATGATTTGCACGAGCAGCTCCAGGCCGAGGCTGAGGACCCAGCCCGGCGTGTTGACAATCAGGGGGCAGTGGCGGTGCGCGCGCCGGTAGACGTCGTAGAGGTCCATGGCGCACTCGAGGTGCAGCTCCGCGGCCGACGCCGGGTTGACCGACGCCAGCGAGTGGCACCGCAGCACGCGGTACGCGCCGTCGTCGAGGCTGGGGTGCGTAAACGGCGCGCCGAGGTTGGGCGCCGCGACGTGCACCAGCGAGAGCGTCCCCGGCGGCGCGTACTCGGGCTGCCCCGGGTCGAGGTCCAGCACGACGACGCCCTTGGTTCCGCCGGCCGAGGTGAGCAGCCGGTTGGTCAGGAGCCGCGAAAAGGTCGACTTGCCGGCCGCCTTGGGGCCGCAGACGAGCGTCGCAGAGGGCGCGCGTGCCGCGGCTTCGACCAGCGACAGGAGCTTCCTGTTCCACTTGGGGGGCGAGGCCAGCGGCTGGATGACGGACCTCGGCGGTGCGTCTTCGGACGTGCCGAGCTATGCCTGTCAGCTCGGTCTCGCGGGGTCAACGGTCGCACGTACAAACTGAAAGGTGCGCTTGGGCTGGTCCTCGTTCCAGATGCCGCGAAACAGGGGGGACAGCCTGCCGAGCCTGCGCAGGCCATCGGCGTTGGGATCGCCATGAATCTCCAGCCTCGTCTTCTCTGCCGTCCTGAGTACCGGGACCGCGTGGCAGTGCGGCGCGTGCACCCAGTAGGTGGTTTCGCCGGGGCGAAGCGTGGCTCCCGCGACCGTCACCTCTCCGGCGAGGACGCGCAGGCCAAAGCTGCCGAGGACGAGGAAGCGCTGCTCATGTCAGCTGCGTTGGCACGAGCCAAGGGGGTTCCGTACCTCGCTGTCCTCCAGCTTGAGCTCCGTCACTCCCGCACGTATCCTGTGGTTGCTTGCTGTGAGACGAAACGACGAGTACGTCTGAGTGGCCTTGGACTCGGGGCTGGGTCAGTGAGCATGAGCGCACGGCGCAATCAGTCGCAGGCGACGTACCGCGCATCCTGGCCCTGATTCGGGGTCCTGGCCAGCCTCTTGGGCGACGCCGTGGCCTCTCGTCGCTGGAGCAAAGGGCTGAACGGGTTCGACGGCGGCGTTGCCGGGGACGGGCTCGGCTCGGCAGAGGCCAGCCGCCGGGCTGCGAGGGCGCTGAGAGCGCTCACTGCCGTCGTCAGCGTGTGCGCGTTTGCCGCGACGAAACACTCACCCTGCGTGCCTGGGGCATCGACCTTTCGTCTCTTGGCCGACATGTGCGCGCTGCAGCTCTGCGGTGGGCAAAGTGAATGAACAGCGTCAGGCAGCGCGCCGCGGCATCTGCACACTTCAAGGTCAGGTTTGCACTGCAGCAGTCCCGTCGTTTGCGCAGCTGGTGGTGGGGCCTTATCGATAGCACGCACCCGCGCAGCTGCGCGGTGGGCCGGCGCGTCAAAGTGGGCCATCCCTGCACCTCCCAAAATTTCCATTCAACTTCCTTCCACCTCCCGCACCACGCATCGCATCGCTCACCTCGCCTGCCCAACCGCCACAATGGCTCCCCGAGAGCCCTTCAAGGTCCACTCGCTCAGCAAGCACATTGAGGACACCAAGAAGGGTCTGAGCGCCGAGGCGCAGTACAACCGCCGGCCCGCCGTCAAGAGCGCGGCCGCCGTCAAGAAGGAGCCCGTCGCGCAGGGCTTCTTTGCAAACAACAGCGACAGCGACGAGTCGAGCGACAGCGACAGCGACAGCGACGATGGCTCCGACTACATAAAGAGGCTCCTGCCCGCGCACGCCAAGGCACCGGCCAAGGCCCCCGCGACGGCCAAGGCCACCAACCACGACGAGATTGCCGACAGCGACGCCGAACGGACCAAGAAGACGGGAGTCAAGAAGGAGCCTGAATCGAGCGACACGAGCGATTCGAGCGACTCTGACTCGGATTCGGACGCGTCCGCCAACGGCACCAAGACCAACGGGACCAACGGCGTGTCCATCAAGAAGGAGGTGACGAGCTCGAGCTCCGACTCTGGCTCAGACAGCGAGAGCGACAGTGAGAGCGAGAGCGAGAGCGACAGTGAGAGCGAGAGCGAGAGCGAGAGCGATGAGCCGGCTACAGCGAAACCAACGGCCAAACCAGCGGCAAAGAAGCCAGAGCCCGAGCCCAGCTCCAGCTCCAGCGAGAGTGAGAGCGACAGCGAGTCGGAATCCGAGGCCGAGAGCGTCAAGGCCGTCGAGACCGTAAAGCCCGCCGTCAACGGCACCACGACTAGCTCGAGCGGCACGAGCGAAAGCGACACCAGCGAAGAGAGCGACAGCGACAGTGACGAAGAATCGGGCGAGAGCGCCGCCGCCGACGAGTCCATCCACATGGCCGACCGCACCGGCCGCGAGGTCGCGCTGCCCAACTTCATCGCCCCCGACTTTGTGCTCCGCAAGGGCGACGACGGCAGCGACGTGGCCCGCGTCTGCAGCCAGGCCAACACCGACGGCAAGCAGGTCTGGTACTTTACCGTGCCCGCCAACGTGCCCATCTCGGTCATCCAGGACATGGAGATTCCCATGGACCAGGGCTCGCGCGGCGAGCGCGTCTTTTCCCACGGCGGCGAGGACTACGGCGTTTCGTTTGAGAGCATGGCCCCCAAGAGCTCCATCCAGATCCTGGTTCCTTCGGCAGACTCTTCTCAGTACCAGCGAGGTAAGCTCCAAGTTCTCACGGCAACGCAAATGGTACAGGCTAACAC